GAACAAAGTATGTCTCAAATAAGGAGTCATTTCTGTCTGAATTTCTGGGATGAGGTGTTACCATTATTTACAGTTAAACTAATGTCCTCACCTTTGTTGTTTTTATCATGTTTTGACCATTAGGCCCTCCAGTCTTTTTCGGGTGTCTGTCAATCCAGATAATCTTCACAAGTTTTGAAGTGAGGCCTTTCTTTAATCTACAGTGGTGGCATCCTACTTGTTTGCACAAACCAATTCCTAAAATTATAAAAACTTAGTGAATCGGTTTTTAGGTTATTCAAAAATAATCTTTATTAATAGCCGATGGTCTAGGTAAAATGTTACTTACACTATGCTCGCACATAGTGAAACGCTAATAGATACATACACCCCTATTGTTTTGATGTTAAGAATATGGCACATCTAGTCATAAATTTGATGGGTTTTCCATTGGATCTTTGGGACTGCAGCTATTCAGTTTGAATGTAGCTAAGAAACCATAACACAGCCGAAATTACTAGATTCAAAAAGCATTATACTTCTGGAGAGAAATATGATGAGAACAGAATTTCAATCTGGAAATATCTTAACAAATAAATGTGTTCTATTATCAAAATGGTTTAATTCCTTTTGATGCTATAAAGTGATTTGTTTCCATTCTCAGATTGAAAAGAAAATAAGCAGAATAGGTTCCTAAAGATTACCTGCCTTTATAGAACTGGTTCTTCGAAATTTAGGATGCCACCACTGAATAAAGGGTTTTTAACATTACAGGAAGTTTACCCAGCCTACCAATAATATGACACACCTCTGAGTAAGGATGAAGAGTTCATCAGCTGAAAAGTGACAAAACAACAAAAGTAAGGAAATTAGAATGAATCAATGTACAACAGTATATTCTCATTTCTCAGAAATAAAGTCTGAAGGGTATAGCAGTTAAAATGTGATAAAACGAACAATGATGAAGAAAATAGAATGAGTCAATATAATAATCAAAGTTAATTTCCTTTGATATTTAATAAAGATTAAAAAGGAACAAGGAAAACATTTAAAAATTTAACATTCCATTATTTATTTAGCTTTGTTAGACATTTAAAAACTAAATTCTGTTATTTGTTTTCATTGGTTGTGTTGACATCATGTATATATCTTAAACACAAATTCATTAAATTATAGGCATGATGTCTACACAACCAATGAAAACAAAATGTACAATTTAAGAAATGAAACAGAACCCCATGTTATTTCATTTCCAGAAATTTCTGATTAAGCTAAATAAACAGGAACATCAAATTTATAAAGCTTTTTTAACTTGTTCCTTATTTAAACATTCCTTCAGATTTAATCCATATTTACAAGTCATATTTAATTATTTTATTGACATTTTATTTTTATAGGTTTATTTATTTTTCTCAAAAGAAAAATTGCTTGATTTGCAAGAAAACAAAACATTAAATGAGAAAATGTTCAAAACTTAGATTATAATTATTAGGACTAATATTTTCATTTTTCTTATCACAACCTATAGTAATCCTAGGTAAAAAAAATGGATCTTGTTGGTTATCAATATAACAGTGAACTTACTGTTAACAAGAAAAAAAAAGTAGAAGTGACAAAACACATTTTTTTAAGAAAATCATTTCACCCCATGCAAGGCAAAAAAGCCACTAAAATGCAAGGGGTTGTTGACTGAAAGAATCTGAGAAAAAATAAACTATTAAAGAGAGAGGACAATAAAAGAACAGGAATTAAGTAGACAGAAGATGATGATTGATATTGTATTTAAATTTTCAAGATCAAAGTTAATTGGTAAGCAATTGAGAAGTCATAGAGAAGAAATTATTAACACTGTTACATCTATTAATTTCAACAGTAAAATGACGAGTCCTAGCAACCAATCTAGTACAATGCTTAAATTTTTAAAGTTGAGGTACCAAAGAAGAAATCTCATCAGAACAGTTACCATGGAAATATTTATAGAAAAGGCACAGGGAAGTTACATTACAGTGGTGAAAAAGTGGCGGAAGCCAAATATGCCAGATCAAGACCAATAACATTGCAGATTCTTCTTTGGATTTCATCAAGAAACTCAAAAGCACAGGGTCATAGTTGAGATAAACATATTGAGAAAATCTACATGCATATGTACTTGAATGAGATAGACTTGTGAGTGAAACAGTGCATAAATTATTGCATTGTAGTAGTTAATCTCTGCTGCTGTTGGTTTTGTTGCTGACCAAAGGCATTACTGTTGATGGAAATGCCTTGGTTTTGTTGCTGATGGCCTGTGCAGTCATATAGTTTGTAGTGCTGATTTAAGACGCCTGTTATGTCTGTCCGTCACTAATGCTAACCAGGTCAGATTTGTTTCCATGGGTGAAAACAGTGTTGGCTCAGAACAGCTACTGGGAAAACTCTGTAGACATTTTTCTGATTGGTTAGAAAAGATGTCATGACTCTGGTATTCTGGAAGTGGGTATGCTGAGTTGGATGAAATGAAGGTCTGTTTTTGTCATATTAGTTTTGGATGAAGTAAGCACTTCCGTTTGAGTTAGAGAATTGGAGTACCAGTAGGGCATAATGTCAGTAAAGTAAGTACAACTTTTGAATATATTAAAATTATATATTTATTTTTATATGATGAGAGAAAGTTTGAAAAAGAGTAGAAAAAAAAGAAAAGTAAAGGGAGAGAGAGAGAGAGAGAGAGTCATCAAAACTGATGAACACTTGAAGGTACACATCTTTAAATCTTTGCAAAGAAGGGATCCAACCAAACTTCACAAACTAAATAAATTATTGTTTGTATCAAACTTGCATCTTTTGATTAGTTTTAGTGTTTATAATGATTATAAAAATGTATTTGTATAACAGCTTTTGTTTTTATCTTCTTGTTTGTTTATTTTTGAAAACACAATGTGTTGCATAGTTACTACACACTCTTTCTTAGAAAAAGAAGCTGCAGAATTTTATGGATATAATTTAAGCAATAAAACTTTTTTTAAAAGTATATATATATATATATATATATATATATATACTTTTTAAAAAGTATATATATATATATATATATATATATATATATATATATATACTTTTAAAATATATATATATATATATATATATATATATACTTTTTAAAAAGTATATATATATATATATATATATATACTTTTTTTAAAAGTATTATAAATATATATATATATATATATACTTTTAAAAAGTATATATATATATATATATACTTTTTAATATATATATATATATATATATATATATATATATATAAGCAAGTATATGGATATAGATCCGACAGTATGAAGAAAAATATACAGAAAAAACAAACAAAAATTAACATTAATACAGCATAATTGCATATTAAGATTTTTGTTTGTTTTTTCTGTATATTTTTCTTCATATATATATATATATATATATATATATATATATTTTGAACAATAAGAAAATAAAAATTAAAATCTTTGGACACACTGGGTTGTAGATTAATATTCTTTCGTTTTTTTATTATTATTTCATTTAGATTCCCCGCCAGGTTTCGACCGAAATGGCCATCATCGGGAGGAAAAATATTTCTGCTTGCTGGTAGCAGTGAACTACAGAAATGAATGTCTTGATGGAAAAAATGAACTTTTGTCTGTAGTTTTCATTTGTTTTTTTATTTGTTTTTTTATTTTTTTATTTTCTTATCTTTTTAACATGAATCTTTTAACATTTGTGTTGGTCAAACAGTCTCTTTTAAGTTGTTATAAGAGCTGAATAGATACATATTATTCTGAATTCTCTGGTCAGTTTGACAGTTTTATTGGACCTGGTGAGGGGATGTGTCTCTGTTTAGTGTTTGTGTGTGTGTTACTTGGTTCTTAGGGAGTGAGTGAGTATGATATGTGTAAGCGTGTGTATTGCTGTAGGTGTGTGTTATCATTTGGCTCCTTAGGGAGTGAGAGAGTATGATGTGTGTAAGTGTGTATATTCGTGTGGGTGTGTGTATAAGTGTGAGGCCTCCACACCTCCGTAAGCATGTCTGTCTTGTGTGGGTGAGAAATGTGGGTAGGTTTTGATTTGTTGACTATCTATATATTGTTAAATTTATGATTTAGCCCGGCTGGGTATTTTGTTTTTAGACGTTGTATCCACTTATTTTCATGGGACTCTAAAATCTTTCTAATGTTATCTGCTCTGAACTTTTCTATTCTCTCAATTGTAGTGAATTTGGCATGGGTTTTGAAATCATGTTTTTCCAGGCGGAAATGTTGTTCTACAGGTAATAATTTTTCATGGGGAGTTGATTTAATTCGCTTATGATAATTATTAATTCTGTAGTGAAAGGGCCATTCAGATTTTCCTACATATTGTTTCTGGCATAGTGTGCATTCTAGGAGGTAAATTATGCTATGACTTCTACAGTTAGAATCGTGGTAGATTTTGAAAGTAGATTTAGTGATTGAGCTATATATATATATATATATATATATATATATAGTAAACATGAATTGGAAAATAAAAATTCATAAAAGAAACAAATTAATATTTGATTTTTAATAGTTACATGCAGAAATGATTTAAAAAATATAGAACATGTACCGAAGTACACCGCCCAGGGGGCACCCGGGATTGAACCGGGGACCTCTCGATCTGCAGTCGAATGCTCTACCACTGAGCTATACCCCCTCGCTGATAAAAGTGTCTATTTTATTATATATAAAGAATTATTAAGTGCTACTTTCCACTTGTAGATATTTTATAGGTGGGATTATTTATTCTTGTCATCATTTCTCTATATATAATCTAATATAATATTTTACTAAGAATACGTTTTTAAAAATATAATTTTCATTTTGAATTTAAATAAAAATTCCATTCACCATGGAAACAACATCTTGCCGAAATTCAAACAAATATGGCCGACACCACGCCTTTATTGTTTATTCTATATATTCTATTTTCTACGAAATAACAAGCAGTAAAAACAAGTCTAAGAATATTTTTTTTGTTTTTCATCGAAGTAATACGTATTCTTTTTATAACGTAAGTATTTAATTGCAAGAATATTTGCAAAGTGTATGGATTTTTATTATATGTCCTATTTTTTCATCGTATGATTCCCTCACAAGTTGTTTTTTTTTTGACTCAGTCTTTCTGTCTATCATCTCGTATTTCGAATGTCTTAAAATTACAACAGTGTTAATTTTGATGATTATGTAAAAAAGAAATGGACTTATTTTCAATTTTCCCAATGTTGAAAAAAGGAAATTAAATTTTTGAGCCCATCTTTTCATTTTTTTTACTACTTCTAAACTGTAACTAAAAACAAAACAAACAGCAGCAGCTGTTAAATAAAAGATTGGAAATATAAATAAAAATGTCTGTAAGGAATCATTTTCAATAATTGAACACCTTCATCTACAATTGCTGAAAATATGGAATCCATTAGGAATTATAAAATTCAAAAAATATGTTATTGTATTATTAAATAATTTTAAAATTAAATTCCTAAGTTGTTTTTTTCGTAAACGTAAAACTCGTACTTCTTTTTTCAAATTGATTTTTTCCAATTTGAAAGAAAAATTAAATGAATAAGATTAAGAACTCTTTAGAAATAATTTTGAAAGAAATGCTCTTACTACAACATTTGTTCGCATTATTACTGAACAACTTTGTTGTTACGGAAAAAAAAAGGAAGAAAGAATGAGTTAAAAAATAGTCGAAAAAATTTTTAGGATGAAATCCGTTTTTTTTTGTTATGGAAAAGAAATTTTAATAATATTACTTCACGGCAATGGGGTCTTCAGTTTCCCTACCTTTTAGTTGCAGCTAGGCCGTTCTCCCAGAGCAAGGTCCTTCCATTGCACACCGGTTGGGTTGACCTTTGCGATCGCCCCAAATGTGGGCGACTCGGGTGCGCTATTTCTAAGTGTGGGGTCTCTGTTCGTGCTCACCCCGATAAACAATCCAAAAACAGTTTGCTGGAATTGAAATCTAAACAGAAACCTAAATTTGTACTCTTGACCCCGATCTATGAAAATGCTACTGAGGTGAGCTGCATTATTTATCTAAAAACCTTACTGCCATTAATTTTCAAAATAAATAAGAAAACATCATTTTCCGTATTTTTATTTATTAGCTTCAGAAACTACAAATCTACTGAACTACATAGTTACACCACCTTTGGCGATCATCTCCTTTTACTAAGGAACTCTCCTAAACCATTATAAATTATGTTTATTCTTGTAGTAAAAACTATTTTTTTTAAACTAAGGTTCACCCTGTACAAAGCCCGGGAGCCACTCGAGGTAGAGGGTTACATTAAGGGGTAGTTTATATGGATAGCAGGGGAAGATAATGGTTAACTCTAGACTTGAACGGATTAAGATTGTAGTGATCGAGGAAACATCCTCTTGGGAGTTCCACAGGGCAGTGGTTCACAGGAAGAAGCTGTTTGAGTGGAACTTATTTCTCACTAATGGAATATGGAAGGAATGTGGCTGATTTGTTACTATGTAAGTGGCATGGTGGGTACTAGATGTTTCTTTGAAGATTTTTTATTTTTGTATAGATAACAAACAGGAGACTATTTTAGATTCACAATATTGAGCATTTACTGATTAGATTTTTGATGTATCAGCAAAAACATGACACTTTCTCAACAGTGCATTATTCAGTTTCCACTTAAACAAAGTCTCTTTGGTGGATCAGTGTCTGATAATATTGAGAGAAAATCTTGAATTTACTTGGGTATTACAGGTTTTACAAACTGAAAAATGTATTTGACTTCTTGAAAATTATAAGAGAGTAGAGAATTCCACACCAGACCTGGCTTTCAAACATTGATTGATAGTGCCAATGTTAAGCTGTGCCATTAAATACTCTGCCAAGATTCCTTATTAGACGTTTTTAATTCTATAATTTAGTTTTTAGTTTCATATAACATTAATTTAAACATAAAATGTTAACCTCCAAACCTATCTAAGATAAAGATAGAATCTGTCTGATGTGAGTTACAGCAAGTGACCATTAAAATGACAAAGAATTATAATCATTTTGTAATCCAAAGAATAGAATTATGAAATCAACTCTTAATATGTAAAAATTTGGGGCACTTAGACATGGTGTAGTGAGTTCAATCCTTACTGGGTGCCCCACACTTTTAGCCTTCTGACACATCTAAGCTACACTTAGAAAAACATTTGGGCACTTCGACATGGTATAATGGAACAATTACAACTGAGTAGTGTGTTCAATCCTCACTAAGTGCCTCATACTTTCGGCTTTGGGCCACATCTAAGTTACTCTTATCTATCATATAATTAAATGATTTTAGTAAAAATGTAAGTCACAGGATTGTTTACTTTTGTTTGTTATTTTACTAGGAAAATGTCAGACAAAGAGAACCCATCACCTGAAACAAAACCATCTCCTCCAAAAAACAAAGATCAAGTAAGTACAAGTTTTATCTCATACTGCACCTAACAAGAGAAATTTCATAAGATTATTCTTAAATATAGTATTGTAGTTACAAATTCTACAGTGAATGCCAACACAGTTGTAAAAATATCATTATTGAACATGTTTTAATTTATTTCTATTAGCAATTATATAATAAACAATTACTATTGTTATCAACAGTAATTGTTTATTATATAATCAGTTAAATGTTATTAAATAACCATTTGTCTAATTGCTATACTTTCCTCACAAGTACAAAGAAGGATTAATATGGCAAGAGATAACTGAGATTTAAGCAAGGTAACTTAAGGTTATATGTTGGTCAATATTTCAAATCAATGCCTTATTAGGGAATCAAGGCAAAGAAAAATACCAAATATAACACTGAATGAAAGTTATTACATGTTAAAGATTAGTTATTTAGAGGAGACAATATAAGATTTTAAATGAAGAAAGTGGTCTTGAAAAATTTGATACTCACAGGATAGATTGAAAGCAAGAGGGACAGATGAAAACAATGCATAACCTATCTAGTGAGCTTCAGTAAATGAATGGTAGAACAAGGTTTAGATGAGATAACAAAAAGACAAAAGGAAATTGTGAAGAGCCATGATCGGCAATGTCATTAAGGAACATGGCACATAGGAGAAGAAGATAGCATTTGAAAACTTTAATAGATATATTCATAAACAGACAGTGTCTTATGCATGAGTAATATGCAAGAAAATAGTACAAGAGAAAATTAGTGAAAACAACTGATCCAGCATTTATGTAGTGTCAGCCCAGAATAGAATTTGCACTCACTATCACACCAGACTTCTAAGAAAGCTAGGCTCAGGGTTGACCTGAGGTGACTTCCCAGCTGAGTGCTGAATCACATGTGCTGACAACTGCACTTGGCTTACAAGTGGGGGAACAAGCTGCATGACAGATATATAAGCACCCACACCAGTGGTAAGGGGCAAAGAGTCTCTCTCAAATATCATAGATGAGAGTGTAAGGTCTAAATTGAGAAGTAATAGGGCTACACATACTAATTGTGACAGTAACTGACAAAGTAGCAGAATGAATGAAATGTAATGATAAATATGAGAAATTCAAGTCCCATGTTATTCATTAGTTGATACAACAGCAATTTCATTACATTTAATAAGAAATCTATTTGAAAGTAATGTGTTAATTACTTTTAAAAAAACAAATATTGAAGTAGTGAATAACATTTCAATAGTTCCTTTGTAGGAAGAATAAAAATTTTGTTTAACACACAGTCCAATATGCAAATTTCAAAGTTATTAATGCATATGACTGATAAAATATTTCTTTGTTGAATAACAGTTTTTAAATGAAATGTTTGAAGCTAGTGTGTGCAGTGAATGTAGAAAGAGTTAATAATAGCCAGCAAAAGGTGGCATCCCAAAACATGGCTTCTCTCTTTCACAATATAATAATCTAAAAAAATCTCTGAATTAATAGAAAAAAAAATGAAAGTATTGATATATCAGAATATGATTTATCATTTCTATTGTTTGTCTTGTCTTCCTTTATTCCTGTGTATGTATGATATGCTTTTAACATCTACTTCAATGTTTATACAAATCATGGACTAAAATATTCAGAGCATTATTTTGTATATGTATAATAAGTTACTGTAGCTCAGAGTTAAATGCTCTCTTCTCACATGCAGCAGATTATAGGTTCAAAGTTTGTCAAATGTAATTTCTGTGAAAATCAGAATGTTAGAAAAATTATTTTTTAAATCTTGAATAATTGATGATGATATGTGGTCTTGGATATTTTTCCAATTAATTACATTATTAACATAAAAACTTATAAAGGAAAATTTAAACTGGAAATGTATTGTTTAAATATGATAAATAAATTCTTTTGTACAGATATGCCTCACACCATGAAATAATTCATTTATAAAGATATATAATGGCTGTCCACTCATAATTTGATGATGCCTATCTACTAGGGCAGCTAGCTAATTCCCATTGCAGATGCCTGCTCATTTGTGTTTGTTCAACACCAAAAGAGCCCACCTGTGATTTATACTGCAACTATGCTGAGCAGACCTTAGTTACAGTTTCTCAGAGAGAGTATGTTATCTAGCATGATCAACAGTTTGAACAATGCCTGTACACTCAAATGCTCAGTCATGATAACTTGTGACTTCATGCTAGCACAATCATTGATGGCCACTAAGGGTTGTGTCTACCCAGTTTCACTCATAAGGCTTCACTCACACACACACACACACACACACACACACACACATATATATATATATATATATATATATATATATATATATATATATATATTCCCTCTACTCTGCTCACCTTATGGGAGTCTAATTTAAAAATAATGTCTGAGATCTGTGACAGGGTTAAGCACATATCCCTTAGGGGAGCCTCTGTTCTACAAAGGAAATCAGGTGCAGGATTCATTTATTCATATATATATATATATATATATATATATATATATATATAGTTTAGTTATATATATATATATATATATATATTTATTTTTTTTTTCATATAGACAAAAACAATTTACTCACTATATTTTTGTAGTGAGTAAATTGTTTTTGTCTATATGAAAAAAATTATAATAAATAATTATTAAAATTAAGAAGTCAGCCAATTCTGTTACCTTGGTTTCCACATTGATTTCCTAATGCTTTATTTTTAAAAAAATAAATAAATGAATAAGTGCACAACATGAAGTATGGTTCAAGGTTCGGAGGAGGAAAATCAAGTATCTTGGAAATGTATCAGTGGGGGATTAAATAATATATACATATGTTCTTTTTATCCCATTTCAAATGAACTCAAAAGGAACTTTTTAGTATGTATACAACAGGATATAATTTTCAATCAGTTTTAAAAGGTTATGTCCCATTGCATACATACTAAAAAGTTCCTTTTGAGTGCATTTGAAGTGGGATAAAAAGAACCTATTATATTTTATTCAATCCCCCCACTAATACATTTCCAATACACCTGATTTTCCTCTCTTCCTCCTCATCTTCTACCATATCTCACGGAAGCCATATTGTTTTTCAGAGAGTAGGTCATGAGAGACTTCAAGCTTGTACAAAAATATAAGGATCTATTGATCTCAGCCTATTCCTGTAAGTAAGGAAAGGATTTATTAACAAACTGTTTAAAATTGTTCCATCGTGCCTGTCTAATATTTTGAAATCATTTTTTATTTACTTTGTAACATGGAAGACTTCAAGCTTGTATGAAAATATAAGAATGTATTGATCTCTGTGTATTCCTATATCAACGGAAGGGATTTCTTGATGAACTGTTTATGTGAGAAAATAGTTCAATCGAGTTTGTTTAATATTTTAATATTTTGAAATCATCTTCGAATACATTTTCACAACATCGCCTACGTGATGACGACGTAATCATATTTTAAACGGAACGCTGATCTTATATAAAAAATTTCAGTTATCTGTTTGGATTAGTTGTGCTCTTATGTCCATCGTCTTTTTCATGTTGAATTTTATATGTTCTAATGTTAATTATGTTTTATGAATATGTCCTGATGATGGTCTAAAATAGACCGAAACATCCGACGTTGACTTTATATTAACATTAATACAGCATAATTACATATTAATATTTTTGTTTGTTTTTTCTGTATATTTTTCTTCATATATATATATATATATATATATAAATTTATTCTGTTTGCACATCAAGTCCAAAACAAAAGTATGTGAGGTTCTGATCAGACATGCTTTTTGTGGATGACGCTGCATTCACAACCCACATACAAGAAGAGCTCCAGATTCTGATGAACTGCTTCTCTGAGGCTTGTAGGGACTTCAGGCTGACTATCAGCCTGAAAAAGATGAATGTCCTAGGACAGGATGTAGACGTGCTACCAATCATCACCATTAACAACTATAAGCTGGAAGTTTTGAACCAGCTCATGTACCTTGGGTCTACGATCTGCTGCGACCTCAACCTGGACACAGAAATAGACAAGAGGATTGGGAAAACAGAAACTACATTCACTTGTCTCACTATGCAAATGTGGGAAAGCTTCAAGCTCTCTGTCAAGACAAAGATGGCAGTCTACAATTTCTATGTCATAAGCACACTTCTCTACAGCAGCAAGACATAGATGACATATGTCAAACAGGAGAAGAGACTGAACACTTTTCACTTTAGGTGTATCTGTCACATCTTGAGCATATCATGGAAGGACAAAGTGCCCAACACTGAAGTTCTGTCTTGCGCCAGCCTAACAACCATGTTCACTCTACTCAGATGGTCTAGGCTTCAATGGCTGGGTCATGTTTATTGTAAGGAGTATGGCCAAATTCCTAAAGACATCTTCTATGGGAACTTGCAAATGGCAAAAGAGATACTGGTCATCATCATTTGCACTACAGGGATGTCTATAAGAGGGACACAAAGGCCCTTGAGATCAACAGTGACCACTGGGAGGACCTTGCTGCTGACCATTCTGGGTGGAGAAGCACCCTGACTAAACAACTAATTTCATGAGAGGAGAAACTAAACAATTCAGCAGAAGACAAGCAAACCCACAGAAAAGAATGCTGCAGAATAGATTACACACAGACAATTCACAGATGTGACTTGTGTGACAGAGACTGCCACTCGTGCATCAGCCTGTTCGGTCACACACGGTGATGTTCCAGAGGAGCAGATGGGTGGGATCAAATCCATGTGTAAACATCACAATGCTATCTGGGAGATTAAAAACAAATTACACCAAAAATATCATGGAAAATAAAGAAAAGAACTTCTTTTTTCATAACAATAATAATTCAGAAGTAGGCATATACAAAATAAATTGCCAAAACTATTCCTCATTGGGGAAACATGCAGAAATTTAAAAAAGACATATCTATGAACACAAAAGGGACCTTATACATAACAATTTATTAAATGCACTAGTCATGCACAGAAATAAATTTGACCATTATTTTGATCTAAAAAATGCCACACTCATCAAAAGAGAAAGTAATTTACTCAGAAGGAAAATTCTTGATAATGCCACTATCGAAATTTATCACAATTTAATGTATGCCTCAGTGTTTCCCCAAACTCACTTTTCCTGAAATAATTACTACTTTTTCAGGTCAACATACATGACCACAAATACGTAGAAAAATCTAAAGAAAATGGTTAAATCCATCATCTTATGTTTTTGAAGATTTATAGCATATACATCCATTTCATATCATAACAATCTAATCACAATTTAAACCATATTGATTTAAAAAAGAAAATTCTTGAATATTACTTGCTTACTTTTTGCTACTTTGAATTATGACACTTTGTGTCCTCCACATACTTTAACTGACATTTCAACCACTTGATGAACATTCATGAACATTCTCAAATTTAAAAGACTTGATAAACCAATGACATCCTTGCTTTTGTATATAAACACCTGCAATGAAATAAATCCTACATTGCCTTGCTAAAGTCTCTCCAAGGATGAAAAGCATTGGCTAAGAATAGTTTTCCTCTTGTCTCTTTTTATTCATTTTGTTCTGTCTGAAAATAATTTACACACACACACACACACACACACACACACACACACACACACATATATATTTATATATATATATATATATATATATATAGAGAGAGAGAGAGAGAGAAATGATAAAAATTTCTAAGCTTGACCAAATAGCTATTTAAAAAAAAATAAAAAATCTAATGTTTGGTCATTTGGTCAGATTTTGGGAAGGGGGTTAGACCAAGAACTTTTCAGCACCCCCACTTCATATAAATAAAATGTATTTATTTCAGAGTATATGCATAAATTTTGTATGTTTTTACATTTTGTAGGAAACTGCCAGTTCATCTTCAAAATCTCCTGTTCAGTCACAAAAGAGTTCTCAAGGAAGTGCCAAACATTCTTCGTCTAAATCATCATCAGTTCCTGGATCAGCTAAACTAACGTCTGCAGGGAAAAAAAGAAGTAAGTTATTTGAATATTTGACTTTGATTTGAATGCATAAAACTCTTTTTATCATCAAAAGTTATCACTGTTTTTGCTGGTATGTCAGTAGACTTACCATATGCCTTGGTTTAAAATATACTGGTGATATAAGCAATATGAACACAGGGCTGACTTGATGAGAATAAAGAAGAAAAACTATGTCAACTGTTTCACCAGGGGAACAACTCCAAAACCATTCTCTGCAACAATATGGATAGATCTGCCTGTCCCAAATTGAACTGATCAGCCACCAGTGTGCCTACAGCAGAGTTAAACTGCTTCCTTCCAAGATATTTGTTTGCAAAGTCAAAGCAAGAGGAAGAATTAACAATAAGGGGTGTTGGGTCATGAAAACTCATTATTATACAAGAAAACTAAACCTATAATATAAATTGAATCTCAGTTTGAGGTTTGGAAATTATGTCAAATCTGTATATTGGACATTATTTTTTCTTCCCAAAATTTACTAAGAAATTGCCTTACATCTATTATGCAAAGGTGAAGTCTTTTTATAAATGTACATTTATCTTTTAGGATACCTTCTTACCTATATTCTCTGCCAAAATAGAAATGCTTCCTATATACCATCAAATACAGTATTTGATTTACATCCCTGATTATTGTGCATTGTTACTACTTTTAAGTAGTGACTACCTATATGAAATTTCCTGAAAAAAATTGAATTTGAAAATGTCTTTAAAAAATATATAAAGGATTCAGAAAGCAGAAATAAGAATTAATGTTTCATCTGAACCAAATTTTGTCAAGGAAAATATTTAATGGGTGAATATGTATTATTTTTAACACAGGAAACTGGTCTTTCTGTTCATAAATTTCTAACTTAGTTTTTACTTATTTAATTTCAGAATTGTTTTTCAAAGATTTTAATAATGATTGGAATAAGGCATAAAATCACAAGTGAAAAGATATATTTAAATGCAAATTTACTTATATAAACTGATGTACCAAAAGTTAGTAGTTGATGTAAAGTTAGCAGTTGGTATTATTATATCTTGATTTTATGCAAAGGACCAGAACTGTATCACTTGTGCTTTAACTTCTGGTGAGTCAGTGTGTACACTAGTTAGGTTGATTATGGCAAGGTGACAAATTATTGGAATTTAAACAAGGTATGATGAATAGGGCATTCCATTTCTTAAAATGTGGAGACATTTAACAACCCATGATTTATAATGTCATATGTGTACTGGGAATACCTGATGAAAGACATTACTGACCACTAAGAACAGCACAGTGCCAAATAAGGATTGTTAATGATTATGACCAGAGATGTTTTGCTAGAATTATCTATAGGAATGGATAATTGACACTGGCTCAAATCACATTCACATTCAATACAGGAAGTACCAAACTCATATGCAGGAGGTTAGTTCAATGTTCTTCATAAATTTTTAAAATATGAACAACCATAGATATCATCTTTTCTAACATGAATATTTAATAGCTGAGAAGTAATTGCATTGAACTGGTCAACTTATTTTTTTAATAAACTCTTCACTGATCATTCAGAGTTGTGTGTGGATCTTAAAATTCTCTCTATTATTTATGTTTATTATGCAAGAAATTACTTTTGATTTTCCTATGAATTAAATTTGTCACCTTTTAATGCATAGTTAGAGAATAATAAATTTCATAGTAATTTGTTCAGTTTTTATAATTTAGAAAATGTTTAGTGACATTTTACCTTCAAATAATAGCTTAGGAGAAATGAACATGTTGAGGTATAGAAATCTGGATTATTTTGTTTCCATATATTTAAAATAATATTTTATTGCTTAAATTTTCTTCAAGAAACATGTTTAAGTTGAGTTGTTTTTATTTTATATTTTACCTCTATTTTATAGGTTTCAAGAAATCAGATAAGAAGACAGCAGATACTGAAAATGTTGGTTTTGAAAAAGGTACAGGTTTCTCTAAAGATTTGCTTTTTGAAAAAATATAAAGAAAATTGAATTAAATTTTAAACTTAAATTAGTCATTTTTATTTAAATAACATTATACAGCATGATTAAATATTATTGTTTTATATTTGTAAAATAATTAAAATGATTAAATATTATTATTTTATATTTGTATGAGACAGGTTCTCAGCCTAACCAAAATCCATTAAAAAATCTGATCATTTGATTAGCTTTTTGGAAGTTCATATATTCATATCAACTTTAGAAAGTGTCATTTCAAGTAGTCGACTGTAAGAGAAATAATGAAGTTGACATTAAGAGTTCACTCCAGATTTGAAAATTAACAGATCATGCAATAAATGCAATCCTCATATTAAGCCCCACCCAATATTTGAATAACTCAGATTTTAGATGTTTACTCTGCAAGTGAAATCAAAATAATTTAATTTTTCAGATCTCACTAAAGTTTGAATTTTCTCACTCATTCTAGCATTTGTGCATTTTCTTTTATTGTAGTTCTCCCAGATGGTTGTTTTCCAGTTGCCTTGTTGAACCAAACCCAGGAACTATTTGGTTGTGTCATTGATGAAGATGTGACTGAGGAAAATCCAATAAAAATTCTTAAAAAAGATGACATTGTTAATGATCTGAAGACCAGAGCTGCTGTGTCAGATTTTAGTCCTTTCAAACAGAAAATATTTGTAAGTCATTACTGATGTGTTGAAATCTAATAAAAAAAAATAATTATATATAAAATATTATAAAAATATGCATTTCTTCTGCAGGATTATGAAGGAGAAGAAATCCTCATTTTCTTTGATTCTGACTTCCGATATGGAGAGAACTTTTGCATTGCTCTGACAGAAGAGGCCAAAGAAAAGATTCTACACCCACCAAAGGTACACAACTTTATTCCCTTTATAAAAATGTTAAGAAAATATATATTTTATTCATTGATATTGCTGAAACTGTTCTTCTCAATAAAGCATTTAAGTGCAGAGATAATAATATAAAATTTTGTTGGGTTTTACATATCAGATCAGTTCTTTGTACCCTTAAAAAATGAGGACTATCATTTAGAATGAATAACTACTAAATTGTTGTAATTTGCTTTTTGACAGGTACATGAGGAGGTAACTCAGCAAAGTACTCAAGAAGCAGAAGGTGAAATTGAAGTTGTTGTACCAAAGTATGAACCACCTGTCCCTAAACCTTGGGTGCATCTGGGAAGTGAAATAGAAATTAGAGATGAAGTAGCTTTTGAAAAAAGAGGCAAAGTAAGTATAGATGTGAACAAAAAAAAAACTATGTAGGTTAATCCATATCCAGGAACTTTAGATAAATATCAACCTATATTAAGAAAGTATTTTTAATGAAAACGAACGTATTTGAACTTTTTAGATGAGATAACTCTCATTATGATATCAGTTATTTGGACTATTATCTGCTTGTTTTTTTTTTTCTTTGATTACTGTATTTCAACTTAGATGCACATATAGTGCAGTGGCTATCAGCATAGGAAAGGGAACTGTCATGCTTAGTTCAAATTCCAATCAAATTCATTGCATTCTCTTTTGCACAAATACATTTAGGAAAGCATGAATTCATTTCTTCTACTCCTATGTATGGATTAAATAGCAGGACAGACTGGGATCTCTAGCCTCGGTTGGCAACCAATATAGGAAAAGGACAACTCTGAATTTAAAGCCAGTTTGGTGTGGAGCAAAGCAACTCCACTCTATAAAAATGTACTTGCTACTGAAACCACAGCAGTAACAACTAGTTGGGTAATGTTGTTGCTCTATCTTCCACAAGGAAGTCTAATGGCCCTGAGGACTAGGAGGAGGAGGTTTTTCAACTTTTTTTCTTCGACAAACTTTCTAGTTTAGTCTGAAGTTCTGAGATCCAGTATTATTATTATCATTATTATTATTTCTGCTATGGTTACACTACTGGCCAAGTTTGCAGGAGGGCCTAAGGCAGGTAGTGGTATATTGTTATGGCTACATTTCATGATTTTTTCTAAATCACATAACATCACTGGCATTACATGGACAAAGTATGTGGACTGTACTTACCAAGACAATTTTTTGTATTTCTCTTAAGCTGAAATTTCCAGGGATTTTTTCCATGTGTTTTTGTGTTCCTTTTTTATCATTCCAGGCACACCTGCTATGACTGATACTATTCTTATTTTCAATTCCCACATTTTTATATTTTAATTTCCAGGTTTTTATACTTCAATAGTTTTTCAAATTCCTTTGTTGTTATGTTACAGTCAGCTGGATAAGCCATATCAATTAGTAGGCAAGTTTTTCTTTTCAGTTTTTGACAATTATGTCTGGCTGATTTGCTTCAATCTTCCTGTCTGTAAAGATAGTGTAATCTCATGGAATTGTAATGTCTTCTATTTCTATAACCAGTGCTGGGTGATGTTCATACCCATGTTTATTAGCATCTTTTCCAAAGTGTTTCATATTGTCCAGCATAAATATTGCCCCACTCAATCCTGACAATTTTTATATTAATTTGGCACAAGTAAAGAATATCTTGAGATGGTCTATGGTTTTATTTGTCACAGAACTTGCATTTTGGATCCACACTATTAGGTATGGTATTTTTGTATCCACACTATTATATATGATATTTATTATGGTGTATTATTTATTATTATTGGTGTCTTGTTGTTATTATTATTAGCAGTATTCCTCCATAAATCAATTAGACATACATCATCTTTGCTGTTTCATTTTGTTTGGCTAATGTATCTCCTGGCTTTCTTACTATTCATATAAGCTAGCCACCTGACTAAAATCATGTCATAGTTATGTTGTTTTGACTATAAAGAAACATAGAAAGTGACCAGTAATCTATAGTGGTCAAGAAGAGTGTTGAATTATCAATGAACAAGGAGTGTTCACAGAGCATTTTGGGGTCTAACACAATAAAGCATACAGTGGAGGGTGCTGCAGTATTGTTTGGATATGGTCATATTAAGGAACATTTGTCCCTAGTGAACCCTGACAACTTGAAATAAGGAAAGCCTGTTCCTTGCTTGACCTTTCTTCCACTCTACATCCTACATCTGAATGAATAAAGTGAGACCTGTCACTTACAAAAGTTGTAATTTTTACTATATCCCTGACCACTAGACAGAAGATCACTGGCCATCATCATCATCATCAGTCCCAAGATAATATTCTATTACCTTTGTCATATTACATTTAGTGCCATCACTATTTTTACTCATTGTCTACAGCTCTGAGCAACATGTGTTCATCCTGCAATTTCATTTTTAATTCAGACAATAATACTTATTATTTCAATCAAAATGTAGTTATTTTATTACTTAGGCTTATATTATTCAACAGTTACTTCTTTGTTAGGAGTTTTTAAGATCCTCAAAGATAATTGCTGCCTGGGACTGAGAATCCCACTAAGTTCCCACTGAGTTTGAATATAAAATAAACAAAATAATAAGTGTAACAATAATAGACATAATATTAATGCTAAAAATGTCACTCATGAACAAGTATCTCAATGTCACCCAAGAGTGAAAAATTACAAATGGTATCAGGTTCCTAAATTTTAAATGATATAGTTTCTTTTTAGCAAATGATTAAGTGTTTCGTTTGTATTAAAAAAATCATTCAATTATTTAATAATTAATTCATGAATCTTACACTTTTGGGATACAAAATATCACAATTCACTTAGATTTTCTATATTACCAAATTATCTATTCTCTTTTCTTTCTTTTTATACTTAACAATAATTTACTGTTGCCTTTAATTTAGATTTTGTATTGAATAATAACATCCCTTTGTTGTCACTTATTTGATATAGACCAAAGTCAATCTCTTTGTTGTTTGAGAACGTTAATTTTGGAAAATATCAAAGAAGAGAGTGGGTCAACAAACAATAGTTTATAAATTTTCCTTATTACTTGATGTATTAGGTGTGTGGTTGAGTGGTTAGAGTGTTCACTTTCCAACCATGAGGCCCAGGTTCCAATCTCACCATGGTCATCAGTTTGTCAGGAAGGTGACTTCTTGATGTTATCAACCAAGGGAGGTGTTCCCAACAAAGTGCTTGAAAACCATACCATGGGTTGATAAAAATCTTGTGAGTGAAATTGGGTAAATGAGATTGTTTCTCAAATGTTGTGCTAGCATGAAGTCATAAATCATCATGACTGAGGGTGTGAGCACACTGACCTTGTTTAAACTATTGATTACATCAGATCTCAAAGAAATTGTAACTAAGGTCTGCTCAGCATAATTGCAATATAAACCACAGGTGATTTCTGCATATGTTGAACAAATACAAATGTACCTGAGCTGGCATCTGTAATAGGAATTGGCTAGCCACCTTAGAAGACATGCATACTCTGATACAAGCAGTCAGCTATTACAATTTAGTGTACAAAAACAGAAACCAAATTTAAAATGATAACTTTGCCTCATTGCCCTTTTCATTTTTCCCACTTAAGATTTAATATTTGTTTCTTAATTTCAGATCAATCTAAAAGCAATAAGACTCCGTAGAGATTTTGGTCAGACTTACAGTTTTACTGACCGTGGCCCTTTGGAAAAGGATTGCTATGTTGAATATTGTTTACCTAAAGAAGGCAACTTTGATCTTCATAGAATGGAACTTGATAAGTTTATTCAGGTAAAGATCTTTGTACTTTGACTTTCAAAACCTCTTATTTTAAGCTATAAATATGTTTCAACAAATCTGCAGTTATTTTTTAAGTAATAGTGAGTTAATGATAGATCATATGTAACTTACAATTTTATTATTCTTTGGTATATTTTTTACACTTATATTTTAATCTATTAAATTATTCTTTTAATTGTTTTAATAAATGTTAAATGATTATCTTATCTGGTATTGAATGTTTATGTTAAATTATCGAATTAATTTAAATTCTTTTTTCTTTGCATCTTTAAAAATTTATTCTTATATTTAAATAAAAAATATCAATATTTTTATATTTTTTAATACAAAATGGAGCAGGAAACAAATATTAAAAAAAATTGATTTAATAGAAGAAGCATTTAATAGTAAAAAGCATAACACATGAAAAATTTTGTTGTAATCAAAATTAAGATTAAAAGGAAAGAAAAATTAGATATGTACAATTTTTGTGTCTTCCAAAAGAAAAAGGTAAATTTTGCTTATTGTCAATTTTTAAAGTTGTATCTTGTTTCAGTAGGAAAATCTTGCCTGCTTTTAGATATTTGTTTTATGTACTTTGAAAATACTAATACCAATTTAAAATTTATAGAAAAGATGTAAAATTATATAGTAAATATTATTTGCAAAATTTGTTTTCTGAAAATAACTATTTGGGATCATTTGACCATTTGCTAAAATATTAACAGATTACCTAAAAAAACATACATGGTCTTTAAAGAATGAACCAGAGAATCTTTGTTACTATTTAAACTAGTTGAATCTTTTTCAAAATTTTATTGGTGAAGTGAAATGATTGGATAATATCAGTCTATCACTGATGCTGACCATGAAATGAAAAAAGCCAATCTTATCAGTCCACTGGTGGTAGTGTAATCAGATGGAGCTTTGATCAGGAGTCACACTCTATTTGAAGAATAATCAGTGGAAAATTTTTTAAAAAAGTAAAAATAAAAACAGTAATAGTCAGTGGAAAAAAAAAAAGAAAATTCAGTTTAGATTTATTTTATAAATCTTGTTCAAAATCCTTGAGTATTGTTGATTTTAACATCAAAAACAAATTTTTGATTTTAAGTACTGGATAAATTTCCTTTGGATTTCTCACTTTATATTTTGAGCATTATTTAAAGTGTCCAATCTAAAGTCTTCAAAGTATAAAACCAAAGTAGTATTAGCCAATAATTATTCCCATTCTGTATGAAAGAATACATTTGAAAGGCAATTGTTCCAAGATTTCTAAAAAAAAGGACATTTTATTTTGCTTCTATGAAATTATTAGCCCATATATCATCTAAAAAATTATAATTTCGTTTTTTAGTTGTTATAGGTTAAAACAATTATATTGAATTTCAGATGCTATGCTCTTTGTTTTTTTGTTTTTTTTTGTGCAAGCTTTTAAAAATCAAAACAAAGTATGGTTGATTTTTTTAGTTTAATTATTATTTTTTTTTTTTACAAATGCTAAATCTTATTGGCCACAAATGTTGAATTATATTTCATTTTTTTATTCTTAGAAAAAAATGTATGATCTGAATATGAGTCTCGGTAATGAAATCTAAGAGTTAATTCAGTATTTGGAATTGTTTCAGACTTTAAAATTGATGTTACTCAAATCATTTATTTTTTGGATGGTTTTAATGAACATTAAAAACTCTTTATTTTTATATTTTATTTTAAGATTCAATATTTTTTATCAGTTCATGCTTTGTTTCCCCGAGCAGGCTATTCCTATATTGAAGACCGTTGGAACACAAACGGACTGGAAACAACCAAGAAATGCTTGTACACAGTATATACCTCGAACATTTACCGAAGAAGAAATTATTCAAATTGAAGAACTTCCCAATTATTTGGAGTTTATGAAGAAAGTCACTCCCAGGTAAGAAACTCCAACATATTGAGTTTTTTTCACCAGATTGGCTCTGGTTGTTCTTGATGTTTTTCAATTCTGAAATGATAGTTAATCAGTTCATTTTCTTGTTAATCCTTCAAGACATGGTGTGTCCAGTATGCTCTGTTAGTTTAACTTTTTTTTTATAAAAGGTTTATTTGATAACAAAAAGATGTTTAAAAATATATAAATAGACCCACCATTATTTTACTTATTGATACATACCAAAAAGAAGTAATAGAGTTGGTGAAAAAGAATAATAATAGCTAATAAGTTTATTGAAGTTACTTAAAAATGTTTGGAGAACATTATGAACTTTTAACATAGTTATTATACCAACTCATCTGGAGTTTGTGATAGGGTTCATATGTATATCAGATGGTATCTGACAGATTTTATATGATCTTCACATTATACAAATATGTATGTCGCCTATAGAAGATGTAAGTTGATGAAACCTGATTGTAAAAAATGATAGGGGATTATATTTTTATTTGAGTTGTTTGTTTTGTATGGACTATGAGTCAACAAGTTCAGAATCTCTTTATAACCATAGATAGGCTCCCAGAGCTAGCTTGAAACAGTAAAACTTGATTAATTAGAAAATATATCTATTTTTGTGCTGGTTTCTGAATGGCCAAAGTGATGGTGCATTAGTCTCCATTTTAGAAAGTACAATTCTTTTCTGGGGTTGATATTTAATCTTAACCACAAGTTATGACAACATATACTACATAAACTCATTTTTAGAATATTTTATTGATACAATGAATTAGCAAGTCTAAGTAAATATTTTAGAATTTTTAAATTAACTGATATGATAATTTTAATGTTCACAGATTTTATTTGATAATGTTAAAAATAAAAACAAATAAATGCTTTTAATTTTGAAATAGCTTGTTGAAAAAGAAAAATTATCTCTGATCATTCATATTATACTAATATGTAATTATAATAATATGTAATATTATTTTTATGTATTTAAGCTTTTCTGATTGAGACAATCTTTTCTTCTGTGGGCAGTTATGATGTTATAGTGGTTTATTTTCAAGTTCAAGTGTGGCATTTGATAAATCATTAAGTCTGTATTTAATGATCAACATATGTGTGATTGTAAAATTTTGTAGTTCAAAACTGAAATACTTATTTGAGATGAAATCAGAAAGATAAATTCTTGATAACCATTTATTACATTTATCCTAAATCTAAACAAGAACTTTAATATTTTTCAGAATGTAATTTAAATTTGAAATAGGCAGAACTGTGTAAGGGTTGCACCTGTAAAATATGAAGAAGCAAATATAATTAATTTATTTTTCAATGTTTGCAGATTTGAGCAGGCTTTGCAGCAGAATGAAATCATGGAAGTCTTCTTTGATGATTGGCAACACTTAGGAACAAATGTTGACATGACTGTCAATCAAGCTATTAATCAACTCAGGGTACAAACATCTTAATTAAAATAATTATTTAAAGTTCTTTCTTAGATTATATATATATATATATATATATATATATATATATATATATATATATATATATATATATATCTTTTTTCAGTTAAATCAGATTTGTATATTTTTATTTTTAAGTTGATTTAATTTTTTAATTTCTAATGTCTAGATAAATTTTAGATTTTTTAAATTTAATTTGCTTCATATTTTAAATCTGTTTTTTACTCGTAATTAATGATGTATTATTAGAAATAGAGCACTAAATGAGAAATCATCATTTAAATATCATAAGTAAATTGGAAGAAAAATGTCCTTGTCTGAAAGAAGTCATAAATCATGTATAATTACTATAAAGGAAATATGTGATTCCATCTGAAATTAAGAGAATGCTAAGGTGTACAATGATCACTATCATCAAAATATACATTATGAACATATATTGTCTGACTGTGTTTTGGTCATATACAAGAGTGCATCAGTAAGTTTAAAGCCTGACATGTAGTAATTAGCTGAATTTTGATTTGAAATTTTCACTGTATAATGTTCAATTTACATTATTAATATTCACCCCAAATAAAAATAAAGAAGATTATAACTGCACTGACAAGAAAGGAGATTGTATTAAAACATCAGTATTTGTTGTGTGAGATAATGTTATTTTCATTATTAAGCTAAAAATATGAAAGGAACAGGTTTAATTAACTTATTTATGAAAAATAACACCAGTTAAATGTTTTACAGAGTAACAATATATGAGTGTGCTCTCAAAAGAATATTGTCCATACCATCATGTGAAGTTTTTTGATTGATTTAAAAAAATTACACACTTATGTTCTGTTTCAAAACATCAACTGCCTGTAGTCTGTTGACATTTTCTTATATTATTATAACCAAAGAAAAATCAGGTGCAGTTAAGTCAGTAGATCTTGATAATGTCATCATTACTTGATATGATTACATTTCCAAGATTTTGGCATAACATTTATGGTTTGTTTTGCATTATGTCAAGTAGCACTAACCATGGTGATTTCAAGATTATCAATCTCATTTAGTGCTGGCCTAAGATTAGGATAATCTCACAATATCTTTTATTATTCACAGTAACTGTTTGATCTTTTACATTCTCAAAAGATAGATTCCAGTCACTCTATTATGAAAACTCTTGAATTTATAGAATTGAATTACTAAAACTACTTTAAGATCCAAATGATTTATTTGTTTCCTTCAAACTAAATTCAAATTAATACTTTACTTTTAGCAGACCTTTATTTATATATATATATATATATATATATATATATATATATATATATATATATATATATATTTTTATTATAAGAGATTATAATAAAAACATCTTAAAATCGCTACACAAAAACTTTCATGTTTCAATACTTTGATTGTACTTCTGCAGGTAATGGTAAGTAACTGGTGATTAAATGATTTCTGATATATATATATATATATTTGAGGTCTGATCAAAAAGTATCTGAACTGGTGATATAAAAAGAAAACTACAACATATATCAATTTTGCATTTAATCTTTTTTGAAATAGTCCCCATCTGAAGCCACACACTTTATCCAGAATCATTTCATTGTTGGAAGCATTTTTGGCATAGTGTGCAGCTGTAATGACATATCCTCTTGAATTTCCTTGATCTCTTGAAATCTTGTTCCTTTCAACTGGAATTTGATTTTTGGAAAGCGGAAAAGTTACAAGGAGTGAGATCTTGGGACTATGGTGGTTATTGGACCTGAATAATGTTGTACTTGGGCAAAAACACAACCACACTCTACAGACTTTCTTTTCAAGCACTGCTATGAACAGCAGAAGTGAGTAAGAATGTTATAACAGTGTATATGCACAACAGCATTCAAGGTCAATCTGTGCCAAGTGTACTTTAGTTCTGTTACCATATCTACTGTACTGATTCTATTCAATCAGAGCTCATATATATATATATATATATATATATATATATATATATATATATTATAAATTAACTGATTTAAAATATGTTTTTTTTTGCTACACAGTAATAACCATGTTTCAAAAATGGAAGCTAAAAACTTTAAATTTAATTTGATTGGATTTCTCTGTATCCTTGGTAACTATAAATTATGAATTTCCCTTGCAGTTAAAACTCAGTAAATTTAAAAAAATAAGTTACTCCAAAATTCGCTTGAGGATGAAATGGAACTAATGTTTTTATTTTAATTACAAAATTAAATTTAAAGTTTTTAGCTTCCATTTTTGAAACATGGTTATTACTGTGTAGCAAAAAAAACATATTTAAATCAGTTAATTTATAATATTAATGCTCTGTAAATTTACATTGAGCACTATTTTGTAAAAAATAAAAATATCAATAAGAACATCGAATTACATATCTTACTGTTCTTTCTTTTTATTTAAATATACATAAAACTTATGCCAACTTCATAGTGTGGTAATTGCTCAGATTTTTGTTATCAAATCTAAAATCTTAAATTGGTGTATCACTAATTTTGATTATTTTTAATTTTAGGAATACCAGTCTTTCTGTGACCTGAAGTACAGCAAAGATAAAGCTATCACATGTATCCAATGGCATCCAACATTTCGAGGTATGACTAATTCTGCAATTTAACTATTGAACACAATAAACTGGTGTTTTTATTATTGTATTTGAGATTAATTGTGATCGATATTTAGCAAAATTGGATTTTGCAGAGTAAATTTATTGTTGATTAGTTCAGTACAGGAGAAAAATTCCTTCTCAAAACACTGAGGAATCAAATGGTAGATATGCTTTCTTTAAAATAACTCTCTTTCAACAATTACAATGTCAGATTTTGATATCTGAAGCAAAAATGAATAACCTATATATTCAAAAATTTGGATTTCACAGTAAGTAAATATTTGGCTTTTGTTATTATAAAACTATTGGTTACTTACCTAAAATGTACAATTCATTTGATCATCATGAGCATGTTTTCTGGGCTACTCTGAAAGTTCAGTTGATTCATGATTCCCTGTTTTGTTTTGGTTAGAAACTGTTGAGACTCCCAACAAATTTAAAGAATCATATTTAACTTTTTAAAAACATACTTAAATTTTTCTATTTGCAGGCATTATTGCCTTTTCAGCAGCAGAAAATCTGACATTTGATGAACGAATTGATTATAGTCATCAAATTCTGCTTTCTCCTTCTCTGATCTTGATCTGGTCTTTCACTGATCCTATACATCCACAGGTAAACAGACTTATTTCTGGAAAAGCTTTCACACATGCAGAACACAGACAAGTATCATTTAAAAAAAGAATCTAAGTACATTTGTCTTCAAACAACCTGACTGTTTCAATGTATGCATATGTTCCTGTTTCTAATTACTATAAACATTTTATTTGGTTACTGTAGCATTACACTGGGACTACTTTCTTACACACATGGACATATGTGTGAAGTGCTTAACCAAGTGTAATAACACAAATAAAGTGTAGCATTTCAATACTGGTCAGAAACACTAAACACACATCTAAGTCCACTGTAAAACTGTTCATAAATAATATTATAAAACTTAAAAATTTCTCATCAATCAGTCACCGCATAGTGGCAGTGGTTGGATGCAAACCTATGTCTCTGAGGAGGCTAGTGTTATTTGTTAAATATATTTATGTTTTTTAAAAAAATGAAATTAATGTCATTAATTACTGTTAACTAATGTTAATTTCTCTGTTTAAAAAAGCAGGGATGTCGACTCAAACAAGTGTGCTCTCTAAATATAATGTTTATAGTGATAAGAAATAATGTTGTATTAAAGAAAATCACTAATTGTTTAAAAATATGCCCCAGTATATACACAAAATATGTTAATATTACATTCTTCCTAAAACCAGATCATCTGATTCATACTACACTAATTTTCACCACTAGCCAGATGTGAACGCTCTGAACACCCAAAATTGAACTAAAATTCCATCAGTTGCACAAGGTTCTGCATATACCTTTAGTTTTTACTAACAGACTCAAAGAAAAAAATAAGCAATACTATTGTGAGACCGGAAACTACCTACACAATAGACTCTTCCAGGCCTATATTAAGTAGGCGACATAGCACTCTAGAGAGTGACAGAGAGAGACACAGAGAGATAGAGAATCTCGTACGACTACCAGTGTTGAACACTAACATATAGTAAGCTCCACTTACACTATCTCTGTAACCTGTTGTTAATATATCTTTCTTACTTCTAATCCGTGTTCCGTGTTTTCCTTCTGTGGTCCCGACTTTGGCCCCACATCAGTGGCGATGAGGATTCTAGAAACACACTCACGGCGAAACCTAAATACCTTACCAATCCCACATCTGGGTCGACGAAGAATTCTAGAAACGCATTCACATTGAAAAACTGCAATACCTTGCCTGTCCCACAACAGTGGCGACAGAAAAGATTCGAGAATTTTGTTCTCACCATATCAACAGCGACAGTACTTGAAAAATACACAAACTCAACGCGTTTCCACAGCAGTGTTGAACGTGAAATTAAGCTGGTATTAATACATTAGTGATTTAAAAGCTAAACACCCAGCGTCTATATATATTCCAATACCAAACACCATTGACGAACTAGCGATTCGACATCTACGGAATATTAAAGTCTGTCCAAAATACGAGAACGATTTCTACACACACACACAGGAAAAAAAAAACAGTTGTTCGTAAAACAAACTGACAATACAAGAGCAAGTACTACCATTGTACTCAAGTTTTCGGAAAAAACTATCAAAAAGTTTTTTATGTAACTGAGTTGAACTCAGGCATAAAATTATTCCCCCCTCAAATTCACTGAGGTGAGTTTTCTCTTTTTGTACCTCCTAAAAAAAAAAAAAAAATACATAAGTGTGGTGAAAAATTATTCAATTACGTTAAAATTAATGGAACAACAGAAAAAAAGCTAAACACACATAATTAGTTTAACTATTGTCTGTCCATATTTATTATTTTTTTTCTGTAAAAGAAAAAAAAAGGAACAAAAACCTATCAAGATTTTTTTTGTGTACCTCCTCTTAGTACACGTGTTTCAAAGCAACAAAAAAAGCGCTGTCATTTTTTAAATATGGAAGATTTGCAAAAAGTAGTTGCCCAAATGTTAAAACTAAATTTGGATCAGCAACAAAAATCAGAAGAAAGACAACAACAACTATTTTTGGAATTACATAAACAACAAATGGAATTCCAAAAAATTACGCTTCAGAATGCTGAACTACAACAGAAACAACTTAAAGAATTACTTGTAAATGCATTAAAAGTCTCAAACTCTGAAAAAGATACAATATTCTCCCAGAGTATAATCTACAATTCAATGGAAACCTTTGAATACGTACCAGAGGAAGACAAAACGTTCCAAGCTTTTTACAGGCGCTACAAAGATATTTTTAACGTAGACTGTGAACAATGGGCCAGTAAAAAAAAGGTACGTCTACTATTGAGAAAACTGGGAACTACAGAACATAGTAGGTTCATAGATTTCATACTACCCAAGAAAACGAAACACTTGGATTTTTCAGAGACTATTAAGCTCCTATCGGAACTATTTGGGCCTAACACAACCTTGTTCCATAAACGTTGGAAATGCCTGAACACAGTCAAAGACAACCAGCAAGATTTTCTAACATTTGCAGCATTGGTAAACAAGCTATGTAATGATTTTAAACTAGCTGAACTGACTGCCGATGATTTTAAGTGCTTGATTTTCGCACAAGGTCTAGTATCAGCAGAAGACGCCAAAGTCAGATGACGGGTACTGACCAAGCTTGACACGAACAAGGATTGACTCTCCAAAAACTGGCAGAGGACTGTCAAAGAGTAATATCTGTAAAGTGTGACTCAAACACTATCGAGGAATCAGGTATGGCTCAGATTAATAAAATCAGAAGTAAGTCTACCTCCTATTCCCCTCAAAAAGACAAAAGGCAAATCTCATGTCCTAAATTCCGCAGTAACCAAAACCCAAATAGGTTAAAGAAACCGCCCAGACCATGTTAAAATTGTGGTAAATGGCATTGGATGAAATTCTGTCCAATTAAGAACAAAAAATATTGCAAAAATTGCAATAAAAGTGGACATACTTTAACTTCGTGCTGGTACAACAACAGAACGAGAAAACCCAAAAATAGAATTAGGCAAGCTGAATCTGACGATATTGCCGATAGGAATTTAAGAAAATATGTAACTGTGGATATTTTCAATAAGTCCATTAAATTTCAGCTTGACTCGGGTTCTGATATTTCAGCGATTAACTGGCGTATTTGGCGAAAATTAAACAATCCGACCTTATTAAAAACGGATAAAACAGCAAAATCCATAACTGGCGAAAAGATTAACATTTTAGGCGAGGTAATATTTACAGTAACACTAAATGGAGTTACCAAAAAGCTCAAAGCCTACGTATTAAAAACTTCAGATAACTTATTTTGAACAGATTGGATAGAAAAATTCAATCTTTGGGATTGCCCAATGAGTACATTTTGTTGCAAGATACAAAGTACAACATCCAATTTGGTAAATCTCAAAAAGGAACTCAAACAACAATTTCCCCAGGTTTTTTCTGGCGGCCTTGGGAAATGTACTAAAATGAAAGCTAAGTTCAAGGTGAAGGACGGTGCACAACCGGTATTCAAAAAGAAATGGAATGTCCCTTTCGCTGCTCTAGAACAAATCAACAGAGAGTTAGATAGACTCGAACAAGCAGGTATTCTGTCAAAAACAGATTTCAGCGAGTGGGCAGCACCTACGGTCTACGTAAAAAAGAAGTCCAATCAAATACGAGTATGCGCAGATTTTTCCACAGGGTTAAACGATGCCTTGCAAGATCACCACTATCCTCTCCCAAGCCCTGAAGAAATTTTCAGTAAACTCAATGGTGGAAAATTTTTTTCTAAAATCGACTTCTCGGACGCATACCTTCAGATAGAGGTGGAAGAAGAAAGTTCCAAATTGCTCTGCATAAACACCCATAGAGGGTTGTACAAATACAACAGACTGGCTTTTGGAGTAAAGGTTGCACCTGCAATTTTCCAGCAGGTCATGGATGCCATGCTGGGCGACCTTGACTACGCAACATCCTATTTGGATGATATACTGGTTACCAGTAAAACTATGGCAGAGCACCGGAACCATATAATAAACGTATTCGAAAAGATACAAGAATATGGATTTAAGGTTAAGGAGGAAAAGTGTGATTTTTTCTTACCAGAGATTAAATACTTAGGTCACATTATAAATAAAGATGGTCATCGTCCGGATCCAGAAAGAGCCAACACAATCAGAAACATGCCAGCCCCAGATAACGTTCAAGCGTTACAAAGCTTCCTCGGCCTAGCTAACTTTTACCAAGGGTTCATTAAGAACATGCAAAATTTGAGAGGGCCTTTCAACCAACTCTTAAAAAAGGACAAACCATGGTCATGGACCCCGGATTGCCAAGACTCATTTGTGAAGATCAAGAAAACTCTTACTTCAGACCTCTCCCTCACTCATTACGACCCTAGTCTCGACATCATAGTTGCAAGTGATGCAAGCTCGTACGGCATTGGTGCTTGCAGTTTACATAAACTGCCAGATGGTTCGCGAAAATCTGTGGCTCACGCATCAAGATCACTTCGATCTCGACATGCCCCAAGTCTCTCCTGAAGTGCAATGCCCAGGAAGGAAAAGGAAATTTACTCAATCGCTCGACGTAAAAAAAAGAGGAAAAAGTATTAACAGTTTTATTTTTTTCTTTCCTTTTCAAAAAGAAAACTCTTTGGAAGGAAGGTATTGTGAGACTGGAAACTACCTACACAATAGACTCTTCCAGGCCTATATTAAGTAGGCGACATAGCACTCTAGAGAGTGACAGAGAGAGACACAGAGAGACAGTGAGAGTCACATACGACAAACAGTGTTGGACACTAACATATAGTAAGCTCTGCTTACACTATCTTTGTAACCTGTTGTTAATATATCTTTCTTACTTCTAATCCGTGTTCCGTGTTTTCCTTCTGTGGTCCCAACTTTGGCCCCACATTAAATACAATCCAGAATTTCCACCCTACAGAACCCACTCCCACCTAAAAAAAAAAAATAAAAACCAGAGTCGATTTGAGCCTAAGAAATGACATAGATTTAATCAGAAAGTGACCTCCCATCTCCAAAGGTCATTGCCCTACCTAGTAAGTCACAACTCATCTTCTCTCTCCTTCCATACACCTCTGCAGCCACTTTTTATAACTCCAATCTCCTTTTTTTACACTTTTCAGAGACATTTACGCTGATTTATCCTTTTTTGTATTTTTTTTGTTTATATAATTGTTTATTCTTTAAACCTTCCATTGTTTCATCTTTGTTCAACCACTATACACTTAATATAACATTAACCAGTGCTTATAATAATTTCTAATACTCTGTTGTTACCTTTCGAGTTCAGTCAATTCTTTCCATTTATTTTATTTTCTCTGATTTATTTAACTTTGCCTATTTACTTGGCAACATCACTTGACTAAAAAGCATTATAAAATTTAATAAACACGTGACAGCATTTTACTAGGCGTCTTATTTTGATGATTTGTATATGCGTAAACATTTTTCAAATAAACATCTTAATTAAAACATTAAAGATTTGGAAATAAAATTTATAAATTTATCAAAACTTTTTTCATTGTTCATTATAGTCCATTTGTGGTCAGTTATCAGAAGCCTAGCACTATGTAAAAAGATTGTCTTAAATACAATACTTTTTATTACTGCCACATTTTCTCATCTATATTATTGTGCTTGGCTGTATGTGCAACTCCTGTACTTTTCTACTTAGAATCGAGTGTAATATCTGTGCCTTGGTGCAGTCTATATCTGAGCTGTCTTCTTAACACTATCTGGAACTTGTCATGAGCCCAACATTTCATAACCATATAATCCTATACTAAAACATCACATCACCTTCACTTGTTGACATTTCAACCTGTGAGAGTTGTTTTTACCAGTAGCCACCCAGACTTTGCCCTATCCACAGTGCAAGATAATACTTTAGACTAGTATAGGTCACAGCCTACAGCCTCACAAGCTTTTATAAAGCAATGATTTTAATTTTCTCGATCTTATAACTCCTAAATAGTTTAATAAACTGAAATGATATCAATATGACAAACTTTATAGGAAGCAAAGCAAGAAAAAGTATGTTTTATTTTGTGTCATTGTTCAAGTAGATAACATGTTTGATTTTAGTTCAGAATGTTTAACCCTTAGAAATTTTTATATAGCAGTATTTTGTAGATGTTATAACTTCTAAATAGCAAATTTACATTTACTTTGATTGTTTTATTGTTATAATCCTAGTTATAAAAAATGTTTTTAGTATGGTTGTGTTGAAATATGCACCAATTTGGTTTGCAATAAATAGTAAAATAGTGGTATTTTTTAAAGAATATTTTATTGACAAACAAAATGATGATGATGTCTTTTAAAGTTTATTTATGTCTTTATAGTTTATTTAAAGGATTTGCATTAAGTTTACTTCAATCTATGTAAATTTCACTAAAATATAAAATGAGTGAAAATATTCAAGACAGGTTACAGAGTTACTCTGTCTAGGGGTGAGGGCATAATTTCATTAGCCTAGAGGTCCCAAAAGGTCATAATCCATGCCAGCCTACCCATCTGGCTCATTGAGGCTAGCATAGCATTTATCAGTGAAAAGAACAGTTAACAAACCCTTCTTCATGTATTCTGTTGCTCATTGTTTTTTTCTTATAGATGTCTTTTAAAGGAAGTTTAGATATCTACCTGATATGTTTTACCATTTGCTTTAGGGCCCATTTTTTCTAGTTTGAGGTGTCTGCCCCAGTGTTCGTTTTGTTTTTTTATGTGTCAGAGCTGAAGTTTAAGAGGTTTGAATTCATGAAAACATTTTGCTATACAAGAACCCCAGCCTATAATAAAAACTAATAACTGTCTTTGTTCAATTTTTGGATATTATAAGATAATATATAGTTACATCGTTAACTTTATTGCCCAATGATGAAAAATGTATTTATTTTATGTAATAGATATTTACTTTTCAACCTAATCTCTTTCTTTGTTAGTGTATTTAATTCAGTGGTGAATGTTACTCATATAGATCAAATATTATACAGTAAAAATTTCAAATTTTTCTTTAAAATTTACTCATCAATATTTTTTCCACTTCTAGAAATATTTGGTTTGTTACTACAGAAATGAGAGCTAAGTGGAGTAGTAGTAAAGAAGATATAAAGTCAGTGGGCAATGAAAAGAAAAACTAAAATTTTGTCTATGTATTCCAGGTTCAAATCCGTCAAGAACTAAAATATATCTAGAATTATTGTTTCAAACTACCTATGATATCATGAATTTTATAAATAGCAAGTAATATTAGTAACATGCATATTTATTTTTGACATTTTTATTTGATTTTAGCTCCTGTTGCAAGCACCTGAAGACATTTACTGCTTCCAGTTTAATCCATCTGATCCAAACATTGTGGCTGGGGGATGCATCAATGGTCAAGTTGTTTTATGGGACATTTCTCAGTATGTTAACCGACTCAAGCTACCCAAAGGGGGACAGAAGAAGAACTGCGTGTATTTGGTTTGTATAAAATGTTATGTTAAAAAAAGAAAGCTATTTTCATGAAAGATAAAACATTTAAGTACTGTTATTTATATTTATTATTCATAATGATATCTGATATGTTGCAATCAAAAACAAATAAAATTAAGATGAAAGAAATACCAGTAGAAAATTGATAAGAGAAATTGAAGTTTAGCTGATACCAACTTATCCATCAAGCTTAGACAAAATTATTAAAAGAACAAATGTTTATCTCTTACAAGGGTTGGCTGTAAAGTTCATAGGCTGACCAAGATACTCATGAAATGTAACTAAATAAGGTTTATTTTTCAATATAATTCCTCTTGCAGTCCACACAATTCTTCCATAAGTGTTGCAGTACTTGGATCCCATTAGTGAAGAAGCTTTCATTCTGTTTTCGTTTTTAATGCCTGCAAAACAGATTGTAAATCACAATAGTGCAAAATTGCATGGTGCAAAATTAAAAAAGTTTTTCCAAACCAATCAAAACTAACTTTTAGTTGATTACATATGTACATGTCAAATTTACTACATAGCTTTCCAGGACTTTAAAAGATTGCAAGAAATTATATTCCAGAAAAGGAAAAAAAAAATTGAACTTAATACATTTTTTTTCTCATTGATTTTGTCAAAATTTCTCATTGAACATAACTATGTTTTTGTATTTCAGCATGAAATTAATTTTATATATACTGATTTTAATAGCTAAAACAATACAAATTTTTAACTCATTAATGTATCCATTTCTTTTGCTTGTCTTAGCCTGGATTTGAGGATGCCTCTTATTTTGAAACCCCAATTGTTCGGTATTGTGCCTTGTCCAGCATTGAATACAGCCATGTTGAATGTATTACTGACATAAGCTGGATACCTGATCATATTGATGTAAGTTGTTTTTATGTCTAGTAGAAATTTTAGGTTTTACAACTACTAAATAGGTTTATAAAGGAAAAAGTGAATTTGATAATGAATATCACATACCCAGCACAATGATAACCTCATAGAGCTTTCACATTGATTTATTTCATTTATCAATACTTTTAAGCTGTAAGATTTGAAGTTGACAATGCAAAATGTTTGATTATTCCAATTGTTGATAACATTTAAAATTACTGGTAAAAATAAAGAATATGATAGCAGCTAATTAGGCATTAAAACAATAAATCAAAAGGCTTAATACAGGTTGAATTACTTCAAAATATTTAGTCTTGATCCTGGCAAGTATTTTTCTCTGTAGCATTCTGCACAGTAGTAATTTTTTCATTATTGTTGTAAGAAAGGAATTTTATTTGACTGCATTAATGCACCACTTGAAAGATAATAAATGATGATCTCATTTAGTTTTATTGCAGAAACAACATTTTTTTATAGGAATTTTTCTTCCATTGTTTATATAGGAAACAAAATGCATTTAATCTGTTACTGGCCCTGCAATCTTTTATTTGATTATTTGCAATTTTGTAAACAGTCATTTGACCTTTTATATTATTAAGTAGCAACTACTTTTACTTCAATAAATTTCATTTTATTATTTTATTACTTATTTAATATTCTAATTCTGTAAATGCCATAGTAATTTGCTCAATTTTATCTGAAGATTAACCGGCTTGGAGTCACATTAGAAAATAAAGAGCAATGGTGCAATCAACTGATGACCTGTGCAGTTGACAAGTATGTATTTTGGTTTATTTCTATCTTTCTAACCAGTAGTATATTGTAACTGAAGAATTCAGTGTAAATTAAATAGACTAATTTATTCTGTTTTATATTAATGGCTATGATCACTTAAATAACCCAATACAACTTTAGATATCACTTAATGAATTATTTCAGAATAGTTGAAATTAAGTCTTTTGACTTTATTACAACAACAAACTTTAGGTGACTGTCCAGGTTTTATTTAGGAATACAGAGAAATAATGACTTAAAACATTTGCAGATTGGTATTGGGAAATTTCTTCATATCTATCTTTAGTGCTACAAATATAACATATTCTAAGTATCAAATTAAATGCTCATACAAAACTAAGTTTTAGTTTTTTGATTTAAAAATGTAATAAACTTACATTTATCAATTTTATTATTTTTATATTTCCCTTTTTTGCTCTAAACAAAATGTCTTTTAAATTTGAAAGAATCACATGCCTTGTATTCAAAATGATTTGTTTTTCAAATATCAGTTTATAAGCCAAAATCTCAGAGTCTGTTTTTCAAAAGAATACAATATAATTTATTTACCAACCTTGCCTCCCCACCCACCAAAATAACTAATAATGAATTTATCCTGGATATTCTTGGGGCTAAATATTTTTTAACATCATCAGAAGGATGTTTTTTTTTTGTTCGAGCTGATAGGATTTGTTAAAAAATGAAACTGCTTAAAATTCATTTAAGGCAATCAGATTCTGAAAATTACTGTATGTTATATAACATTAAATATGAAGATTAGCTTTCCATTTGGAAGCAATTGCATTTCTGAAAGATGTTATTAACCTAAATTCAAACCTAAGTTTTCTGTTCTTCTTTTCAAAATTCAAGCCTAGGAAGAGTTTAAGGCAGATCAATATCATATCTAATTATGAAGGCAAATAATGCCTTCATAATTGAGTATGCTGTTGAAAGTTTATTGTCACTTTAATCCATTATACAATGTCAGATTTTATGGTGCAAGTCAATATTTTCACAATAAAATTGATATTAATCAACTGATTTTGGTAACATTTTCAGGATATTTTTATATTTATATGTTAAATATGCAACATGAATTTCAGCTTATACATGTTTTTGTAGAAATGTTCAGCAGAGATAAGTAAACAATCAAAAATGAAATTTAAAACATTGATAAGAAAAATGGCTTTTAGAATGTCACTAAAAGAGATATGAGAAAAATTGAAAGCACAATTTGCAAGAAAAAAGTGTATTGACACGCAAGAAAATATGAGAAGCTGATTCTTTTAGTGATGAATGTAGAGCTACATTGGATGGACACAATAGCTTGGCTAGAAGTCAAGTCAGCCAACACAACTTAGGAATTAGAGAGGGGGTGTTATTTTTTAATTTTTTTGAATGATGTTCATTTTAGTGGTAAAGGTTACAATCAAGTAGCTTTAATTATTTACACTATTTACATCATTCATACTATTGTCCTCATCTTTATTGCCATATTCACAAGACAGATTGTCTAATTCCACATGTCCCAGTGGATAAAAGCATTGGTTGAAGTAATCCAAAAAGTGACTTGACCCAATAGTTGTGAGTTCAATACCCAGCCACAGCAGAAGAAACAAAAACTTGGAATTAACTGAAACCGAGATATCCAAAAAAGGCATGGCATGTGGAATTAGAACAACCTACCCCTGTAGACTAAATAAAGTGTATGATTTGAAATTTCAATGTATATTACCTGAGAAGGATGGAGTGTACAATATGGCAATAATGATGATGACAACAGCCTGAATGATATAAACAGTGTAAATAGTTACAATACCTCATCTCAGTAATAAAGGCAGATGTTAAGTAGCTTTAAATTAAAGAGCATATTCATTCAAGATTATGTTTCGCAGTCTGATGATTGCTGATATAGACAAATGTCTCAAAGATACCAAATTAATGCAATACCCCAACCCTAACCTATTCAAATATTAATCCAATAGCAAACTTGTGATCCATCATTGAAAGAGATGCATATAAGAATAGGAAATGATATTCAAGCAAAGAAATTTTTGAGAAGCAATAAAATTTGCTGCAAGCAATGTTAAAAGTTGAAACAGTAGAAAACTTAACTGAATCAATTGATGAAAGACTGATAAATAAAGTAGCTCAGATTATCATGTAAAATAATAATTTATTCAGGTATAAGAGATAATATTAATCAATTTCTATTGACTATATCTTTTGGATTTACAATAAAAAATTCATGCTGCACTTTGTTTGTATAACAAAACCTAACACTCCAAAACAAGTTGTCATCCATATTTTAATAAGAACAGATATAATAAACTGAAACTCATCCAATATATTTCTCACATAAATATATCCTGAAAATTTTACAAGCATTGGTAAAACCAGTTTTACTATAAAAACATTTATTTACATCGCAAAATCAGACATACTTAAGCAGCTTCATAGATAATTTGAAAAACAAGTCTGTGTTATGAAGAAACACTTGACTATAAAATCACTATGCTAGAGTCAAAGTTTTACAGTACAATTTTGACCATATTGTCTTGTTTGAATGAAATATAAATGTCAATTCTTGTCTGCCAAAAAAAAAAGTGTGTTATTTCTTTGCAGCCAAATTTTAATTTGGGATACGCGCAACCCAAAACTGACACACCGTGATAGTGAGAAACCAAAGAAAACAGTTTCTATCTTGTCAAAAGTTCCAGATACCTACCGCCATTTGGATTTGACATGGAAACCATTGTTAAAGGTAAATAGTACTTTACTTATCATGAACCTGGCTGATACTAACCTGCAGGTAACTCATTACACCTTCTCAGGCTAACATTTTCAGCAGACATGAAGTAGAAATATTATATTGAATCAATTGCTAGTTTTGCTGAAAAAGTTGGTTCACTGTGTTGTGCTAGACCATTTTTCTTTTCAGAATCTCTCTTACATATTTATATGTCTACCATTCCTCCATGCTTTGAATATTGCTGCCAGATATGGTCCAGTGCTATTGCTATATATTTAGAGATTCTTGATAAAATCCAAAGAATCTGCAATATTATTGGTCCTGACCTGGTGTCTTGGCTTCAGTCACTTTCCCATCACCGTAATGTAGCTTCCCTGTGCCTTTTCTATAAAAACTATCATGGTATTTGTTTGGATGAGCTCTTCACTACAGTACCTAGATTTTATGAATTTAAGCGCAGTATTGGATTGGCAACAAGGTCTTATTAATTTACAGCTGAATTGGCTAGATGTAACTCTAAGTTCTATATAATAGTTTTTTTTCTCACATGTCTTGATTGTAGAACTCTCTTCCAGCTCAATGCTTTCCAGTTACCATTGATCTTCAAAAATTTAAATCCAATGTCAATCGTTATCTTGATTACTCCTCTTCTATCATTCTCATACCTTCATAATATTTTTATTTTTCTTACTCTTTCACACTCCATAACCTTTTGTGTCTTAGTGGATTTAGTGCCCTGCTTAGGCCAAAATGATTTTTTTAAAAAAATGGTTTTTGAGAAATTTATTTTTTAATTGATCCAATGATTCAGTGTATGCAGTTGGATAGATTTATTTCATACATTTTTCCCAATAAAAAACACAGAAGCTTTAGCTTATTTATTTTGTGTAGCAAGTGATCTGAAAATGATTCATTATGATTTTACTAGTAGTGTCAAAAAATGATAGCATTAGTAATTTTGAAAGTGCATTAATTATTTTTTCTGCAAGTGTAATGTAAAATTTTTATCCCTACAATTAACTCTATTGTTCCAAGCAAGAAATAATTCTGTTTTATAAATAAGCAAAAAAATATCCAAAGAAAACTAACAAAACAATGTATTAGCAATCTTTTCTCACAAATGAGATACTCTGTTATTATGGTAACATTAGACATATCATTTATTAATATGGAATAAGACATCCTGTTACCACAATAACAGAATATCTCATGAATAAGTAATGAAATCAGGCTGTGTGATGGATAAGTATATAACATTGTGTTTTATATCGTAGATTCATTTCATGCGTTATAATTGCATAAATTAAGCTTTTTGATAAATAAGCAATTTTATAAATCAAATTATATTATAGTTTGGCCTCAAGAATGAGAATTTTAGAGGGAACTTCATGCCTGTCATTGGCCAGTGAAGCTGCACAGTTTTTCCTCAGTAAATACAGGAGAAAACTGGTGACTGAAGGAAACACCATGTTTATAACACTGTCACCTCTTCTTTCCTCTGCTTCTGTGATTATATTCAATAAGGGAGGTCACCTGGGAGACATTGTGACACTTTACATTTACCCCTCTGAGGCCAGCTCACCAAACTGTATACCCTTCTGTCTATATTTGGCTTGCCCAGCATAACTGTGCTTTTTTGTAATATTGCTTTGATGATAAAAGTGTTAGTGCTCTTGAAAACTTTATTAATGAAGTCATCCCAATGCACTTTCAAAACAGTGTGAAGGAAGTATTGTGGGAAGCATTTGATGAAGTGTAGGTGGTGCATGTAGATGACCCAAGATTTAGAAACATAGAGTTCTTAGTGATCTGGACATACATGCATAGTTTACCAACTAAGTGGTGAGTAGATCCCTAGAGTGATTAGCTGTTGGTAGTTAAATAACATTAGATCTGATTTGGTGACATAGAACTGAGAAGAGTGAAAAATGGTTTCAATACTTTTGTAATGTAATGTTACCATGAAAAGAATTAAAAGGTTAATTAGATTCAGTAAGTGAAGTTGGATTTGAGATTTTGAGAGGTTGTTGAAAAGAGGACAGAGTCTAAATTTCTCACCAGTAAGGTGTTTTTTTTTTTTACTAGGGTATCATGGGAAATTAGTTTTTTTATTCTTGTGATTGTGAGATAAATACACAATTTTTATTTCTTGTGATCTCTAGATCACTAAGAGGCTATTTGTCACTTGTTGATCTGATAATATTTGAAAACCTAAACTCATTGGGTTTTTCAAAAGTACCTAGCAAGCTTCTTTGCCTATCAAATCCCTTAGTAAATCTATTTAACTGCATATTGAACTAAAAATCAATGATAAACAATCAATACACACACATGCACACTAATGGTTGCCGAAAATCTTTCCTAATATATGACCAAATGATCAAATTTTAGATTTTTAAGAGCTTCTTGGTAAGGCTAAAAACTTTTCAGCACTCCCATATCTATTGATTTAACAATATATATATATATATATATATATATATATATATATAATAAAATGAATTAGTTTCCTTTATGAAGAACATTTTTAGTCAGTTTTGTTTCCTTACAAAGGTTTTTTTTCTTTTTATCTTTCCTGTTTTTCCTTCTTTTTTCTTTCTGAACTACACAGGTAATCCTGGAGCTTCTAGTCCATGTAATTTTTTTTTCTTTTGGATAAATCTGATTTTTTATGTTAATCTATCTGACTGAAGTGGAAAACTTACAAAAATTAAGATATTTCTCTTACAAGCAACACAGGACACTCAGCTGTAACCTTCTGAATATTTTGGGTCATCAACAATGAAATAGATTTAAAAGCAGTAAATCCTTTATTAAAAACAATAGTGCAATTGACAAGCATTTTTCAGAAAATTCCATTGAAATAAATTACTATTTGTGTTCTTATGAACCTCTTATATTAGTTGTCAAGCAACACAGCAATTGATGCAATGATTTTGAGATTTTATATAAATTGCAGATCTTTAGTCACATTTACCAGTACTAGGAGGTTTATTAAAATGGGGAATAAAAAAATCAAAGGAAACATCTAAAGAAGACATTTGATAAGTTGATGATTAAACAAGAACCATGTCATGATGAGCTGGTTCAATATTTGTTTTCTCTCTTATTTTTGTTTAGTGACATGTCAACCTCTATGGGTTATTTAATAACAAAATGTAAATATTTTGTATGCAATTTTATTTCTTTTTTGGAGATAATAATGGTTTTAGTCATACAAGTCTTACTAATTAACCCATAGATGGGAGGAGAAGATATAGATTCATACCTTTCCCAAGAATATTTGTGTGTAAGTGAATATAAAGGAACTCAATGGGAATTGGAACTCAGTTCTCCAAGTAACAATTCCGAGTTATTATTTATTACACCACCTGCACATCCAAGCTTACAGCACCTAGTATTCCCTAGCAGTCACCCATCTAGGTACTGACCAGGCTTGATATTACTTAACTTTGGTGATAGTACGAGAACCAGTATTTCATCAGCTATAAGCCTTCAAAGACAAAACGTAAAATCTTGATAAATTATATTTATAATTTTATATTTATAATATTAATAAATCTAATAAGTTTCCAGATATGTTAATTTTAATAGGCTATATGTTAATTTTTATTAATTGCTTTCTTTTATAGATCAATCTCAATAAATCAGAAGCTGGTGCAGATTACAGTCCAACAAAAATTTCCATTTCAGAGATTCAAGGAGACAGAAATCTTTGTAAGTTCAATGAAAAACATGCTAGTAATTTATTCTGAATGACATTCTGTTCAAATCTTTTAAATAACAAAGTCTTGTTAATCTAAAATAATGTTATTGTTATATTCCGTATTTAGTTACGTGGGCGATGTGAGGTCAATGTGGGCGAAATACTGCGTTTGGTTGCAAAACAATGAAATTCAGAATCGAAAGAACAAGAAAGACTGTAGATATATTTTATAATCTCTTTTAGTGAGGAAAATAAGAACAAGTAAAAAGTTCGTATTTAAGAAGTTGAGGGAAAGGTACCCTTTGACAAGGTGTCGGACGAGAGTTCAATAGCAGCAGCAGTCACATGCTTCGTTTCGTCGCCGGGCCAGTGTGTCAGGAGCGAGCGGCGTGACCCTTCTGCCTCCGGTGTTGAGTGGCACTCCTTTTGACTTTCCCGTGTTCTTATACCGCCTATCGGCTCCAAAAGGCAATTTTTGAACACGTGATGAGACGGTCCGATTGGTTGATTTAATTCTTTTCATTTTTTTTTTCGAGTTTATCCCAAATGGAAGTATCTGCGTCGAGCCTATGCGTAGACTTGTAGTTTTCATTTTGAGTCGGGGACTCGTGATGGTAACTTCCGTTTATCGAAGCAGGGCAAGATCTCATCTTGTAACAGCTCCCCCAGATCTTACCCTGATTTGATGTTTTGTTAGTAATGTTGTTGGTGTGTGCGAGTGAATGTTTTTTTTTATTTTGTTTTATAGCCCATTACGAAGTCTTAGGCGTGCTGGGAGTTGCCAGCGTGTTTTCCGTTTTGCTGTGTTTTGGCTATTATTGCGGAACTGCAGTCATCTGTGATATGATGCTCCCCTGACGAAAGTGTAGGAGGCCGTGTCAACTGGTTATGGGGGATTTGGTGGGCGGAGATGGGGGTGGGGGTGGAGGTGACCGGCTCATGTATTGCAAGTGATTTGGTGTGATGCGAGCCGTGAATATGTCCCAGTGGACCCAATCGGTTTCGCCGTTTTTTGTTTTTGACTTGGAGCACCATATCGTTAGTTCTGGTGACTTGAAGTCGCCTATCCAAGGCAGATGTGATGAGTACGCTATTGTGGACTGAGGTCGGTAGAGTAGCACCTTGTCGCCGACCTGTATCGGGTCCTTGAAAATCTTATCGTTCAGTTTGGCTTCTATTCTGTGGTCAGCCTCGTTGTTTGCCAGAGCAACTCTTTGGTGTACCTGTCGGACAGGGCGTTTATCTGCATGCCGTAAGCACCAGGATTGTTGTTGATGATATCTTGACGTGGTATCTTTGGTAGTCCAATATGTGGTTGACGACCAGTGATTATGTAATGTGGAGATGCGCTGGTGGCGGTGTTGGCCATGGCATTCATGGAGGAAACTACAGATTCAAGGACGTCCGTCCATTCACAGTTTCTATCTTCGCAGATGATGTAGAGGGCGTTTTGAGGGTCCGGTGTTGCCGTTCGATGTTTCCCGAACTTTGTGGTCGCCACGGACAGTGAAGTTCCGAGTGATCGATGTTAGGTCGCAGAAATCCTTGTAGACCTCTCCGGTGAAGTGGGTTCCTCGGTCGGAGGACACGATGCGGGGATCTCCGATGACGGAGGAAGAACTGGTAGAGCCAGCGGGCTGCGTCGATTGCACGGTCTCTAGCACATGGTATGGCCATGAGATGTCGGCTGAAGCTGTCTAAGATAGTGAGAATGTACCGTTTACCCTTTGAGAGGGGCATTGAGACAAAATCTATGTAGACAACCTCGAATGGTTTTCTGCCTCGCCTACAATGGCCCATGGGCCAGTTTGGGTGCCTGCCGTAATTCCCCTTACGTTTAGCACAGGTTTGGCATGAATGGACGACGCCTTGATGTCGCGATTTTTATATTCCCACCAGTAACTGGATAGGTGTTCCTGCATGTGGCTGATTCCAGAGTGGTTTACACAGTCATGAGCCTGGTGGAGATATTTTTTTGCGAGCTTGTAAGGTACCACCAGCTTGGGTGTGTTCGCAGCCCCTGATCATTAGTACAGACGTTCCGGTTCCAAGTAGAATTGATGCATGAGTTTGTTGAAAAGTGCAGTGCGATGATCGTTGGGGTCAAGTATGGTAGTGTCAGGTCTTGGATCTGTCGACTGGAGGGCTCTGATGATTTTTGAAAGTGTATCATCAGAGGCTTGTTCAAACCATAATACCCATGTGGTGGCGATCTCTTTAACAGGGATGGTGGGAGTGGTGTGGAAAGCGAAGAATGCATCGGCTGACCTGCTTATGTGGATCACTGTCTGCTCTGGGTAAGGTGGTATCAGTGGTCGCTATGTGAGCTTGGCGTGGGGAGGGTGAAAATAGGGACATCTGTTACCCCTTGAAGCATGCGGCCTCGTAGATAGTTTCTGCATACTGCCAGGTGGCGGATTGGCCAGTGCCTCTTTGCGTCGGCTGTGCTTCATGTTGGAGGAGGGGCGGCCTGATTGTTCCTGTTGATGGTGGTTGGGTCGTGCCTGTGCGCCTGCCGTGGTTGCTCGTTCAGGTCCAGCAATTGTCGCTTTATGTCGACTAGTATTCTGTTACTTTCAAGGCTGTGAGGCTTGCCGGAGTTTGCTGGTTGGCTCGCAATCAATGTGTTTGTTTCAACGGAGGTGGTCATGTCTGTTTTGATGCCGCGATCGAGAAAGCGTTGCGCGTCGCTGGCAATACCGCCCGCTGAGTAGTGTCTATCCATGGTTTTGACGAGGTGTGGATAAATGTTGGGTGCCCATGCCTTGATCCTTTCGCTCATGAGCATGGCCCCATTAGGGAGAAAGCGGTGTCGGCCGTCATCTCGCATTTTGTTTGTCCAACTTGAATCTCGCCTTGATGTGGACTGCGGCCTCTCGGATTGTGTTCTCAAGTCGGCCTGCAAAATCAGTGAATTTCTCCCCCTCACAGCGCTGGAGGTCCCATGCCGGTTCAGATGTTGGAAATTCGTCATCTGGTTCCCGTGAGTGGAGACGAGGTAAGTTTTCAGTTCCTCGAACGTGGCTGTGGATTGTTTTGAGTCTTCCATCTGCTGGAAGATGCCTTCGTTAAGAGTTGTTTTGCCAGTTTGACGAATTCTTTCTCCATCTCGGGGTATTCGCTCAACTCTGGCTTAACGTGTATCGTGTAAGCTTTGCTGAGGTCGGTGATAAAGCAGTTAGCGTCATTGCCTGGTTGAAGGCCCGGATGGATTTCGTAGTGTCTCAAGTGATTGCTGTCGCATTAATAGTTCGTAGTTTGTGGCGTATCGCGGTGAGTGTGAGCGATCATGTGTGGTAGTCTGCAGAGCGGCTAAAAGTTCGTGAAGGTCTGCTTTTAGTTCGTTAATGATCGATTGTGCTTGGGGGTTGTCAGCGCGTTCCATGTCGATTTTCGTTTGGAGAATCACTGTTTTCTGTTGCATGATGAGTTCCAGAATTTCTGAGCGAGAGAGGCCTGAGTATTCCATTGTTTCGCTGTACGCTTGACACCAGTGTTATATTCCGTATTTAGTTACGTGGGCGATGTGAGGTCAATGTGGGCGAAATACTGCGTTTGGATGCAAAACAATGAAATTCAGAATCGAAAGAACATGAAAGACTGTAGATATATTTTATAATCTCTTTTAGTGAGGAAAATATGAACAAGTAAAAAGTTCGTATTTAAGTAGTTGAGGGAAAGGTACCCTTTGACAAGGCGTCGGATGAGAGTTCAATAGCAGCAGCAGTCACATGCTTCGTTTCGTCACCGGGCCAGTGTGTCAGGAGCGAGCGACATGACCCTTCTGCCTCCAGTGTTGAGTGGCACTCCTTTTGACTTTCCCGTGTTCTTATACACGCCTACCGGCTCCAAAAGGCAATTTTTTGAATACGTGGGAGACGGTCCGATTGGTTGATTTAATTCTTTTCATTTTTTTTTTCGAGTTTATCCCAAACGGAAGTATCTGCGTCGAGCCTATGCATAGACGTGTAGTTTTCATTTTGAGTCGGGGACTCGTGATGGTAACTTCCGTTTATCGAAGCAGGGCAAGATCTCATCTTGTAACATTATGAAATTATTCAGTCACATAGAGCAATAATGATATTCCAGAAAAGTGAAATTGAAAGATAATATTTGATGGTATGCAATAATACAATTAATAGAAATGGTCTTTGCTACTTATCTGCATTTAATAGTCCTCTACTTCATCTAAAGTTTTTTTTATTTAATATATTTTCTAAGGGAAATTTCTAAGGGAAATTTTAAACTATTACTTGATTTTTAAAGACATATGATATGACTGATTAATTTTTATTTCTTTTCATTTGAGGTAATTTTAATAATATAATTCAGGAAGTATTGTATCATCTTACTTCACTGACCCAAACTTTCAAAATTTTTCATTTATTGATGAATGTGTTTCTGGGTTACATGTAGAAATTACAGTGAAGATCTTAAGTAAATAAACAAAGTGCAAACATTACAATAAATACAAGTTTAATAGACAAAGTATGTAATTGAAATATTCTGGTATAATGCTTTTGTTTGTACTGAAGATGTTAGTAAATTAATGTGTGTAAGTGCATATTGGTATGTAAGCTAAATTATTTTGCCTATGCCAGTTTGAGGTAAAAGAAATGTGAAGTTATTTATATTAATCTGTCAGAAATGCCTGAAGGAAAAGAAAGGCAGAAGAAAGCAATAGACAATTTGTTAAAGAACTGACACAGGTTTTATGTTTAGTTATAAAGTGGCTGAATCAGGTCTCGAATCCTAAATGGAAATGACAAAAATCTTTGGGAGGTATAGCCTGGCAGTGAAATAGCTTAAAAAGACTGAATCTAATTGATAAATGGATTTGTGACTTTGATTTAAATGTACCTTCTGGTGGGAAATAATTTTGGCTTTAACTGAAAATGGGAATTTTTGTTACTGTAATGTTACGTTTTTCAGTGACCAAAAAAGATGAGAACAAAGGAGATGATTATTCAAACAAACCAGGATCAGGAAAAGACAAAAAGGTTCTTCAGGCTGTGAATACACGTTTATTTGTAGGAACTGAGGTATGTTGGCTTTGTCTCAAAAGATAAATCCAAAACAATCTTTACTTTAAAACCAACTTGAATATTATTTGTACCTGAGGGTTACTGATAATAATCAAGAGATACCTGTAATTTCGTGAAGCTAGTAATATACCTGTTCAAAGAGAACGTGCAACATTTTATCTTTGTTTTTGAAATAGTCTAATTTTAAGAAAATTAAATAAAAATTGATTGTAAAAAAAAGCAAAATGATGAAGCTTTTCTTTAGAAAAGATATCAAAAAAATCTTTTTCTTTATTAATGTCTTTATTATCCAGTTTCATTTATTTTTTGGCTTAAAGAGTTGCTGACCATGTGAGTGTGTGAAGAAAAATGTATTATTTTAACTGAAAGCTTTTAATTACCTAAAAAGGCTTATTTCATACAATTTTTTTAATGTTGCTCATGCATACAATAAGGTTGATGTATACTCTTGGAAAGTAAACATTAAATGAAAATATTTTTTGAAAACTTATTTTAAAATATGGTGATTTTCTAAGTGCTGCTTAGATTTGGCACAAGGCCAAAAGTATAGGGCACCTAGTGAGGATTGAACTCACTATTTAGTCACAATTGTTTTAGTGAGACAAGCTTGCTAACCATTACACCATATTGAGGTGTTCAACTTATTTTAAAATATGATTGGGAAGAATGTCAGGTTGTGATATATTTTGTTGGGTTGTAATTACAAATCATCTTTTTATTATCTAAAATATTTACCCTATTCTTGTATACAATTTGAAAATTGATCCAAAAGATAAATCTCATACTTGTGGTAAAGTGAGTTATGATAATATCATATGCCATAATATTATGATCTTCAACAAGTGACCTCTCATTGCATATATGTTTTTTTCAATCATTCTCCAAATAGGTTTTATTAACTAGAGATATTTTTAAACACATAGATGACAATGTATTTACTAATACTGGCTCTTATATATAAAGTATCTTGAGTTTGTAATGACAATTTGAAGGAAGTTGAGTAACGAAAGTTTGCATGTGACCAAGTAATCAAGAAGAAATGTTATGTTTATGAATACAGTGCCCTCTTGCATTATGAATGATTTGAATCTGATGAAATCACATGGCATAGGGCCACTGTGTTTATAAATATAACATTTTTTTTTAATTATTTGATTTGGTTACATGCACACTTTTGTTGGTAGACTTCCTTGAAAATAATGTTATAGATTCAAGTGAATCCATATATGATTACCAATAACTTTCTAGTGACAAAATATTATTTGATGACAAAATCTTTATTATTGAGCAACCAGTTCGCTTAACCTCTGAGTTGTATTGTGGTGTTCTTTAAGTTTCCAAACTGTTTAGTTATTTTACAGTGCTAGGATGTTTTATTTTCATTTATCAGTTTATCAGTATAAGGTCAAGACCAATTGATAAAAAGAAAATACATTATTACAAGTTAATACAAGAAATAATAGTGAAAGATGAATGTATGCATGTATATTGAGATAATTTTCCCTTATTTATTAATACAGATTTGTATTTAATTTTTGTTGATTATATACCTAATTTTTATGTCATTAAAAATGTTTATCTTTTGGAAATTTTACTGTTGAAAAGAATGTAATGCCAAATTCTTCATCTTTCTATTTTCATGTTAACTTATTCTCACTTAATTTTAATATTTAGAACTCAACTGACAAAATTAGCTTATTTCTTTTGCTATCTCTCAATAACCTACATGTAAAAAATTATTATTTTATTATTGTGAGAAAATTGATTTTTGTATTATATCATGATTAATCAAGACTTTTCTTTGTGAATAAGCACTGTCATATATAAGTAAAATTGTTATGTATTTTTCATTTCAGATTGGTGAACTTTTATATGTAGATTGGATGCCCCATAAAGATTCTGACTCTGGAAAATTAGTGAGTTAGTATAAAAAAAACTTTTAAATATATTTAACATTTTTTAAAAATGCCTTTAAATCACAAGCAATCATAGATCTCCACAGACTCATTATTTGTGAATTGCCATGGCTTTTTGGGGAAAGATAGTGGATGTGTTTCCCTTTCCCTTCTCCAATGTTTTATGTTCAGATTTTTCCTTCTCCTAGACTGACTGCCATCCAAGTCTACAGAGCCCAGTTTACTCTACTATTTAATCTATAACTTGGGGAAGAAGAGATGGATTTATGCCTTTCCAAGGGGCATTTATACAACAGTTGATGTAACAGATTAGATTGGAATTTGGATTTGACTTGTCAATTCCACTTTCCATGCCAATAATCATTGCACTAGTTGCACATCTTAAATTTATCAATGATCTCTACAAATCCCAATTAAAAATCTAAGGAACTTGGTTAAAATTTTGTTTATTTTATATTACTTTTTCGAAATAAGTAATCCTGCCATCATTCTTCATGTTGGCTCCTGCATTAATTTAAGCATTTTAAGAAGTTGTCTTTGAAATTCTTTAAAAAAGCAAGAAATTACCACCAGTTCTTCACTTTTAAATCTTTAAAATGCTGCTCTCAAATAAGAAGATATTTTGTGTTCCCCATTTACAATTGTCAAATATGTGGAAGAATGAATACAACTCTAGTCAACTAATGTTTGATATCCTCAATATTTTTTAAAGTATTCAGCACACCTTTCATTAAGGTGTTCAGTATTGTTTAAGATTTGCTGTCATATTCTTGTTTTGCAGTAGCAATTATAAATCTTAATTTTACTATCACTTTTGATAAAACAATTTCACTGTTATTTTTGAGTTAGATTTTCTTTCTTTTAGGTGAATCTCTCATCACAAACAGCTTTAAATATTTCTAGATCACTCACATACAAGAAAAATCAAGAAAATGATTAGCAAAAATAACTGAGGTGAACTCCGGAATGACTACATATATCATATCAGCAAGAATATTTGAAAAATTACATTAAATTAAATTTATAAATAAATTTAGTAATCAATAAATGACAAATCAGCAACTTTTATAGGATATGCTTAAAGTTCTGAGGCAAAATGTTATATTCAGATTTATTTAATGTTATGTCTGATACTAGTGTTAATATTGGGCAAGACCAAAAACTCTCAGTTTTTGTTAAATGAAATATGGAGCATTTAGTTTTTAACTAACTTTATTTATTAATCATCTTTGTAATTTAAACTGCTGTTATATCTTCATTTTTGAAAAAATATTAAAATCACATATTTTTTTATGCAGTTGAAGATGGAAGAAAATATGCATCATTTTGGCAATATGCTTTTTTATTTTAAGGAAGATAAAAGCAAAACATAAATGTTAAGAAATAAAAATAGATTTTTACCATTTGCAGAAAAAAACACTGGATGAATGAATGTGCCAAAAGTGTTTCTTGAGGTTTCATGCTGGAGACTTCTTGTTGAATGATGCTCTGTATAGTTGAGTGGACCACTTGATGTTGATAGTAATCATCTCAAGCCATTATTTGATAATACACATTATATATGAGTGATAGCCAACATCCTCAAAATATCCAAATCAAATGTCAAAAATTGTTTGGACTAAATTGGTTATGTTAGTCACTTTGATGTGTGACTTCCACATAAGTAAAAAACTAACTAGACCAAATTTAGATGTTCTCTTTTTTAAACAAATAGTGTCAGGCAATGAAAAATGTATATTTTACAACAATGTGAAATGTAACAGATTCAGGGAAATGAAATACTGTTCTTCATCCAAAGATGATGATGCTGCATATATGATGAGTGGAAAGGAATCTTTTACTATGAATTCCTGCTAGAGAATCAAATAACTGATTCAAACAAATACTGCTCCAGCTTAGACAAAATAAAAGGAGAAATCAATGAAAAGAATCTGGACTTAGTTAAGAAAAAAGGGTATAATATTTAATTAAGATGATGCTAGAATGCATATTCCTTTGGTGACCAAATAAAAATTGTTACAGCTTAGCTTAAAGTTTTCTTTCATCCAGTATATTCAGAATTCTTTTAATGAAAAATATTTTAATTCTCTAGAAACTGCAAAAGACAGCTGAAAGATTTCTGAGAAAGATAAAATTAAAATCTGAATGATAGCAGAAAATAGAACAAAATGGTATATATATATTATACAATAACGGTAACACTGAAAATTTGAAAAAAAATTCTTTTAACTTAATAAACTATTATTATCTAATTTGATGGAAGCTGCACACTTATTTAGGTATGTAAACATATTAAAAAAAGTGTTAAATTAAGAAGAAAATATAAGATAATGATTTTTACAGAAATTCAGTGTTTGCATTCTCATAGTATAATACCATCTCTGAAAAAAAGTCTTGTTAAATAATTTGGCAACTTGAAACATTCTGACTGCTCAGCAACATGAAGATATCATTTAGATGCAATAGACAAATTAAGGATCATAATCTTGATAAAAAAGATGAGAACTGAGTCATAATTCATAGCCAAAAAAGTCCTCAACAAGATTTGTAATTGAAACCATTTAAAAATTTTAACCACTAGTCTGGTATGGATATGGTATATATGAAACCCTTTCATGAAGATTTCTTACTGTTAAAAGAAAAAAGAAATTGCCCCCAAACTATGTGCTCACTGTGTAGACTATATGAAACAAACAAAATGTGTATATTGGTAGATTCATGAAGTAAAATAAGACATGAGAAAATTAATTACATTTCTATAGAAAGTCGTATTTCTGTTTTTTAAGTAAATATTTGCTCTATTTAACTTAATGAGTTAAACATGAAATTACAAAAAATATTAGTGTTTATTTTTTTTTAATACAAATTTGTATTAAATGTTTATCTGATAGATTTTGAATGATTTTTTGTTTCAGCTACCAAACCAGATTTTTGCCACACTTTTCATGATGGACCAATTTGTGCCTTGAAAAGATCTCCTTTCAATAAACATGTTCTACTTGTGGTTGGAGGTTGGAACTTTACTCTTTGGAAAGAAGGTGTCACAGTAAGTAAAATTGTGATAATCATCCAGTGTTAGGAAAGAGAAAAAGTAGTTTTAAATTTAAAACTACTTTTTTAAATTACAAATTATGAAAAGGTTTTTGTGTGCATGGTATGGGGAAGCTAAATTAATTCTCAAAGTTTTAAAGTGATAGAAACTTCTAAACTGTTTAAAGAACTGACTGATGATGAAAATAGTGATTTTTCACATTAGTTCAAATAAAGGTTGCCTAAGTTCATAAATACATTCAGGTGTGCAAAGTTAATCTCTTTACAGCTGTTAGGTGAGAATAATGCCAGTATTAAATTATGTCTTTTAATAAGATTTTCTTTCCTACAAAACAAAAAACTGATAGAAATAATGTTTATTTAAAAATAAATTTGTTTAGTGAAATGTTAAATGTTAAAGTTTGATTTTGACAACAAAATCAAAATATTTTTATACTTTTAGTACAAACAAGAAAGATTTAGAACCACAATTATTTGTAGTAATGATGTGTCACTTCTCAAATGAAAGCAATGACAAAATCAAAATGTTTTATTTTTTTCAGACTGGTCCTCTCTTGCAGTGCAGTTACATGAGTCATGTTGCTTGTGATGGTTGCTGGTCACCAACTCGACCTAGTGTTTTCTATATAGCCCGTAAGGATGGTACCATAGATGTGTGGGATGTCTTGGATAAAACTCATGAGCCTTTCTTATCACAGAATATTACTCCCTTTTGTATTACCAGCATTGTGCCAATAGAATTTTCCCGTAAGTAAGAGCTAATTGTTAACAACTTTTGGATAAAGACAAATGCTATGCTTTTCTACAAAGAAAGAACAAGTAGCATTCTCTTTTGCTTGTAGCAAAAAAAAAAAAAAAAATACAAGAGCAATCATCTGTTTGCAATTGAATGAGTTGCATTTATGAAGTTTTTTCTTTTTTCGTAAAGCCTTGAATTTTATTAAACCAACCTTAACACAGTAAAAGCCTGAAAGTATGATCCTTTCACCCATCTCTAACCATGAGATTGCAAGTAATTGAAGATTATCCTGTTCATTAGTAGCAGCTTTGATGTTTCACAAAAAAAAAAAAAAATCAAAATCTTTGCCATTAGATGTTCTTCCTGAAAGTGGATTCCATCTAGACATCAAGATTAAATTGCCCCACATTGTGTTATGATTTATTAATGAAGTGTCTCAGCTCTAGTCAAAATATGCTCCTGTGGAGTTCTGGTTGAATGATGACCTCACTCACATAAAAGGTTATGATTTCTTCCAAAACTTCTATTTTACATTAAATTTCCAACAAGTTTTATTCATAGTATTGTCATTTCACTAAAAAGGTTAGTAAATCTCACATAATTTTTGAAGCAAAATAATAATAGTAGTAGCAGTCCTACAGATCATGTTTAGTCCTAAAAAAATAAGAATGAGGGGGGAAATTATGCCTTGATTAAACTGCTTAATATTCTCTCAGTAGCGATTGTGCATATTCATTAGTCTTCCTGCAACACACAAAATTAAGTGAAATTACTCTTGAACAGGATTTATTTCATGATGAAGTAAGGCTTTTTGATTGAATAATATTGAAGTAAACATGACTCTGGCCCTTAGAAAACTTTTTGTAACAAATTTAAGTTCAATTCATGGGGTCAACTCACATAGGCAAAATTAGAGAGAAAGTGGGTAAGGTTAGAGATTTATTTGTTAATGGCTTATTGTGTTTTAAGTTATCCAATTGTTCAAACCTCACCACAACAGATTTCATTTATTGTAAACCAATTAATATTTTTATTTTCTTCATTTCCAATTCAGATTTGATGAACAGTTTTTTCCTCAGCCTCAAGCCTATTACATCAACAAATGGGAGGAAACATTAATTTCAACAACATACTTTTTATGCATAAAATTATAAGCAAATACAACAATGAAGCTTACAGTAAACTTTCAATCGATAATTGAAGCAGTCAGCTTTTAGTTCATTTCAATTCCAATGTATCTGAAAACTCATGATCTTAATTTTAATTAAATTTTTCATGACTATTTTTCTGTTAATATTTAAAAAAAAAAAAAAAAAAAAAAATTATTGAAGATTCAAAATTGAACCATATAAATTGTTAATTTGATTTTTCAGAGAAACGTCAATTATTAGCAGTTGGTGACAATTCGGGTACATTACATGTATTGGAAGTGCCATGGAGTTTACGAACACTCATGATGAATGAGGTATTAGAATTTATAGATGATTCTTTAAAATTCCACCGGTCTTTCTCTACTTCCAGGAATCAAAAGATCAGATGACAAAATGTTACTAAACTAACTTGTCTTTTGCAATTAATTTGACAGATTAATAAGTTTAAATGATAATAAATTAATATTTGAAACAAATGAATGTAAAATGATTTGCTTTGGTTTTGAGTTAAATGACAATCAAGGTTTTATGCAATAAAACAGAAAGACATTTTATAAAAGGTGGCGGTACAAGATAATGCCAAAGAAATGCAGGTGTTGAAGATAATTTAACAAAGTAAGGTTATAGTAATACTAACACCCATCAAAACTGGCAGAATTATGCATGTATCAGCATTTCTGGCAACAATCAAAGCATTTCTCTCTGACCTTCTGTATCCTTGGAAGTGTTAGAAGCAAATATACATACATGGATACATTATAATAATCTATGCATAAATAATCCTGTACAATCTTTTTGGATACTATACCAAGTAAGTAAATAATTCAGCCTTATTGTCAAAAGAATGACAGCAATATTTAAATAATTTTGCAACTTATTTATACTCAAACTATCAAAAACTATGTTAAGCATTTTCATGTATCCTGTTTAATATTACATGAATATGAAATTAAGCAAATCACATTCTATTCATTTTATTATTTAATAAAAATTACAGCAGACTGCTTGTCTATAGATTGGGATAGTTGCAACAGTCGTGTTGATGACTTAAAAATGAAGAAAGTTTATTATTTAATTATTAAATGTTGATATATTTATATTAAGTATAAATGATTTCTATCTGTAATACATGTTTAATACCTATCTACTGCCACTAGGTTCCAAATTGAGGTTATGACTAAAAAATGCATATATTTAAAAATTCTGTTTTTCAGTCATAATTCTTAATAATGAGAACAGTTGTAAAATTGGAGATTTAAAGAAAATATTTTGTATTATTCAAAAAATTATGAAATTAAATGACTCCTATAGTAAATTATAGATATATATACCTCGTAAATTTATTTTTTTCTTAAATTATCTTATATAAATTCAAATATATTTGTGAGACTACTTAATCTGTCCCTTGTGCTTTCACTTTCTTTATTCCTCTAACTTTTTATACTTCTCCACATCATTTTTTCTTTCTATTTTCAGTCATTAATTTAAGTTTTTCTTTCACCAAATGATAGAAGCAGACATTAATGTCACTGATGATTACAGCTGAACTATTATCAAAAGATAATCTGAAAATGTTTTATTCATTTTGGTTATACTTTCTGCAAGTGTAATCCAGTATTTTTATTTATACAATTAATTCTATTGTCACATATTATTTTACAATTTGAAGTAATTTTGATTTTTAAATCAATAAAAGTAAAAATATTCAAAGAAAGATAACCTGAAATATACTAAATAAAAAAAGCAATGTATTACTGTTTATTGATCTTGTTATAATGGTAAGGAGTGCATGTGTTATAAAACATCTTTGTTACCATATGTAGCTGGCTTATTTTGAATTTTAATTAAATTGGTTAAATTTTCTTTTTGATTTAAAAAAGGTGGTCTCTTTTAATCATTACATTGAAAGAGAAACCAAAAGGCAAGCATTTGTGGTCAATAGATGGAATTTGAGGGAACAAGAAAAACGGAATAAAGAACTGGACAAGAAGTCTTTTGTAAGTTTCCATTCGAAATTTGGCAAGATTGTCATAATTTCTAGTGAATTATTGAATTTTGTAAGTTGTTATTTGAAAATACAAAAAACTCCCTAAACCCTGAAATTGTGCCAATAGGTTGGTTAAAAAAAAAAAAAAAAAAATAATAATAATAAGATAATTGTATGGTGTTCTTTCAGATCAAACGCCCTTCATACCTCCTAGAAGAAGAAAGCGAACAGCAGCTACGAATTTTGTATGACGCATATTTAGAGGAGGAAGCATCAGTGCTACGAACATTAGGCCTGAAAACTGAAGAGACAGATCTTCCAGAAAAATAAACCCGGAAATTATTCAAAATTTTTTCAGCAGGAGTTTGTGAACATTTACTTCATGTCCAAAAATAGTTCAATGCATCTTCTCATACTTTTATTACACTTGAGTGTTTTATTTATTATACATAATGTTGCCTAAGTGAAACAAATTATAACTTACTGAATTAAATAAAAGTTAAAAAATTATTTTCTTTGGTCACTTTTATACAACCAGTTGCAAGAAACTAAATCTGAGTATGTACCGTTTCAGAACAAGCAGAAACTGGTTTATTTTCCTGTTCTTTAAAAATAAACTTAGATTTATAATAGCACCAAGATTTTTAATTACAAGTAATTAAATAGAAAATATGTATAAGTAGTTGACTTTCATTATGAAGGTAGTACTGAAATGTTCTCAGCCCAATCATAAAAGATATTGTGCAACAAGAGACAATTTTGAAAAAAGATTATTGTATAAAGAATTTTTTTTAGCAAACTAGTAATTGTAAACAGCATTATTATTTTTATGCTATGAGGGAATTTGCCTCTTAGAAATTCTTAGAAAGTTGAGAAAATGTATAAGCTGAATATGTTAATAGTAACAATAATAAAGAAGCAGCTATAAGCAAATTATTTTAACAATAATTAAACGAATCACCAAAAGGAACATTTTAATTCAGTTTTTATTCAAATATAATTCTCATCATAAAAAGATGAGAGGAAGAGGCTGATGACAACATATGGCTGAATAAAATCTGAATGTATTTACAAAAATCAAATATTGGTCCTCATTCATACTGTGATCTTCATTCATCCAAGCTGACAACACCTGAAACAATAAAAAGTTCTTTGTTAATAAAATTACAAAAGGTTAACATTAAATCAAAGACATTATTGTAAAACTTGATAAAAGAGCACTTATAAGTTACTAATAAATATATATAAATGGGTATTAACAAATTGTTACTGTCAACTATTATAATCCCAGATTAGATTCTTCTATTATATCAGACAATGAACAGGTCAAGGAAAAAAATGAAAAGCAGCAAACCGCAGAATGACATTTACTGCAAGTGAAAAAAAACCCAAAAAACAAAGCTTTTCTAAGCTCTTTTTGATCTTAAGAAAATAGGTTCTAGGTATTATAAAACTAAATGAATCTATTTTCTATATTAAAACTTATGAAATTAGTTTATGAAAATAACCAAGCAGCATGAAGGCAAAAAGGGTCCATTTTTGTGATGATAAGTAGGCTTGATGTTGCAACATTAATAGTTTTTTTTGTAAATATTGGCACTAATTTCTACAATTTTTCCGAGCTAGCCAACTTTACAATTCAGAAATGGTTTTGTTAACTTAAGGATTTTTTTCCTTACATTTTAAAAACATTTTAAGCATTGCTCAATCACTATATAATGGCAAACATTAATTTTATTTAAAAAGGAGAAAATTGTATTATTAGTCATATTTGCTTTGCTTTCTATTATACACTTTTACAGCTATGTTTAAATATTGGATGTTTTAAAATTAAATAGTTCTAGAGGAACTTGAACATCTATCATGCTATTGCCTCAGTTGCAGTTTGATGGTATTATGCAGTATTTCCAATCAGATAATTTGTTTATAGCTAATGGTCTCACCAAGGAAACAATATACAAACTCTAGAAATAGATTTAGGAATTGGTTTTTTCCTCTTTCAATTTATCTCTTGAGATGACTGCATTTTCTAAGATTTATGTAACTGTACTAAAAAATGTTTTTTAATTTGAAAAGTGAAAGGTAATTTTCATGACATCAATGCTAGACATTTAAACCAAGAAATCTACTTGAATTGTTTTCAGGATGTTTCAGCACAAAATGTAGTGACTGAACAAAATCTTTGATAATTTCTGCTATTTGGTATTTCATTGCTGTGACTCATAAGACAGATAAAAGTGTAAATGGAGAATTTCATTTTAGCCCAAGATAAAACAAATATTTGGGATTTAACAACATTTATAACTGCATTCATTTTCTTATTGGATAAAGTAAAAATCTTTTTTATAATAATACAAAATGTAAAAGTTTTAGTTATTAAATTTTACTCAAAAGTAAAAAACACAACATTTTCGTTGACTTGATTAATAATTTGAAACAATCATTTATTATGAGTGGATAAGTAAGCAGACTGCTTCCAATAAAATTTAGTTTATTTAGGTTCAATTTGTTCTTTAGGGATTATCAACCTTTTGCAGGTTATTTAAAGCCAAAAAATATTTTTAGATTGGAATAATTTTGGGGGGGGGGATAATAATGATTTACTGATAAGTCCTAATTAACCAATAACTGGTGTGAGAAGAGGGGGATTTATACCTTTCCCAAGGATAATTGTGCATAAGTGAATATGACAAACCTGATTGGAATTAGAACTCAGCTCTTTGATTTCCAATTCCAAGCCATTATTCATTACACCATCTGCACTTCCAAGTGCTCACCTATCTAGATACTGACCATGATTGACGGTGCTTAAATTTGGTGACCATATGTGAACTAGAGTTTCAGCGTGATATGGCCTAAGCCACGAAAACATTTATATTTAAAATGAACATAAAATTATTTTTTGGTTTGTGAACTGTGTTACACATTTGATATTTTTAAATTAAATTAATTCACATATATACAGATGCATTTATATAGAAACAAACGATTTACAGCAAAATCCTTTGGGTTTATTATATTTATCCAATCAGCTTCACACATTTAACATTTCACACAACAATTAATTTGGTTGACATTGCTATACCAATTTTTATCTTAGCTTTAAATTCAAGTATATATTCAAAATAAGTGTCACATCTTTACAGTAAGATTAAAATCAGAATGACAATATGGAAAAACCAATAAACATTCAAAAATTCATTGCACATACACAGATAGAAAATAAAATCACAACACCCTGAAGGAAAATGATAATTTTGATGTGCATACTTAGAGGTAGTAGATATTCTGATAGAATTTTCAAAGTCTTTAGAAATCTTGTGATGTAGTAATATTTATATCAGTGCACTATCTCTGTCTGTGCTTCTGATGAAGTAATAAAGTGCAGTTTGGTGAAAGTGTATCACAAGCAGGTGTTATGTCTTAGAGATACACATGTACTCCCATTGTGCAATTAGAGCTGTTTGAATAGGACTGGATTGTAAGCATTCAAAAGGCTGGTTGGTCATTTCAGAGAACTGCTGCACAAGTTTGGCATGACAAATGATGATGGCAACAGTGATCAAATAAGTGTTCTTACACTTGTTGAGCAGGTTCTAGATAGCCACAAATTAGGGACACTTTCCATTATTAGTTTAGTAGTGAAAGACTCAGAGCAAATATGGCCCCCGGAGTGTCAATATAGACCATTAGATGTTTATTTAGAGCAGGACTGTGGGCACCTGTGTCTCTAACCAAACTTCCACATCATGCACATCTCCAGTGGTGTTATGTGCCACCTGGGTGATCAAATAGTGCTTTAGTTTTCAGTGATAACAGCAAGTAATGGAATTTTACAGTGATTTATGAAAATGGTGGCCTTCTACATGAGCAACATAGACCTGGTGTTTGACATCTTCCAAAGTGTATTTATCTACAATGCACATAGTCAATTCCTAACATCATGGTGTCACAAGTTACAATTCATGCTTGCTTTTGGCATTTGTAGAGAGAATGTTGAACAGTATTATGTATGTCCAGAACATTGTTAAACTTATTCAGCAAGATAAGGACCACTCTCAACATGCTCTGAAAGATGTTTGACAACTCCACTGGCTGGTACAATCACCAGACCTGTCCTCTATAAAGGACAACACCAGACTCATTCAGTTAGTTTGCTTACAACTTTTGCTGCATTGTATAAGCAAATGCAAGTGATATGAAATAATTGCAGGGTGGCAGCCTGTGTATGATCATAGGCAGACAAGAGTACTGGTCTGTGTTAATAGCCAAGGAGGATATAGTGTATTGATACAGGGTCTGTGTACTGTTGACACACAAGTTATTTTGGAACCTGTGCTGATTCATCTGTATATGTGATCATTTACTGTACGTTTAATCTTGAGCAAATTCAAACATGTTCTGGGTGATGCAGTTTTATTTCTTGTCATGTATATAAAAATGCAAGCAAATTTAAAACTACTGTGTTCTAATGAAATAACTTACCATGATTAAAGCTCTTCAATCATCTAATTTTTTGGGATGATTCACAGCTACATAGTGGTAAAGTACAACTAAAAGAAACAGTCCCACGCCAAGAGCATTGGCAAAGATTGCTAATTGCACATCAGTAATCATCCTGCAAAATATTTTTAAAAAATTAAGCAAAAACTTCAGTATATAATATTAAAAAAAAACTTAAGTATATAACATATAATATTCATTGTAAAACTTTTTAACAATAAAAATGATTGACTGCTAAAGTATGAGAAGAAATTTACGATGACTTGATTCACTTCTTTGACATTATTGGGAATAACAGAAGCAGTAGTGAATTTTGTAATAAAACACTGATTTCAATCTTGCAATAAAATTATTATCAGATTTTTTTATTATGTTGAATAGATTTATTTGTGGTACAATTATGATGAAAAAATAAATCAACTTTGCATATTGTTTCCATGTCAATTTGTCAGATTCTTCATATAAAACAAAAAAATTTCATTATGAGAAACTTAGAAAAGCTTTTTCCCCATGAACTGTGTAAGTTTAAACTAAGTAAATAGTTTTTGCAAAATAATTTTTAAAATGTTACTGTTTAGCCAAAATGTGTAACTACCCCAAACTTACATTCAGTTTATTATGTGCCATGTCCCTTCAGGACATTGGCGATTATAACTCTCCAAATTTCCTGTCCTTTGTAGCTTAGTAAAGTTTGTCTTTTTTGTTATCTCTCCTAAACCCTGTTCTGCCAACAAGCTCATTAGGTAGGTTATTCACTGCTTTCATCTGCCCCTTGCCTTTAATATGTCCTGTGAGTATCAAATTCTTCAAGCAATGTAAATAATGCC